TTGGAAGGGAAGATAATATCGCACCCACTATAGAGGAAATACACGAGAGAGAAAAGCGTCTAAACAATCTTGTTATATTTGGTATTTCTGAACCTGGGACCGATACTGAAAATCAGAATCCAGACGCGGAAGCAGTAGTTGAAATACTTAAGCCCATTAAGCTAAACATTTCGAAAGAAAACATTAAAATGTATCGTTCGGGAAAAATTGATCACAATAAAAAAAGACCAATAAAAGTCCAGTTTGAAGACAAGGAGACGGTTTTGGCGATTTTGAAGCAAAAAGCAAACTTCAGAACAATGATGGAATATATATAAAAGAGACCAAATACCAATGCAAAGAAACCATCTCAAAAACTCCTGCACAATTGGAACAACATACCAAGGAAGGAAGAAACAATTATAAAATTAGATATCAAGGTTTTGATTTTACACCAAAGCTTGTAAAAGTTAATCAGAGTACAACTCCAAAAAACTAAATAAACAAATTCTAGAGGCGTCGTTCTGGTATAGCAATGTATGTTCCATAGTAAATAAGGTCGACGAATTCTTTATCTCAATTAAAAAACACGATCCTCTATGCATATTAATAACTGAAACCTGGTTGAATGCTGACATTAGAAACAGTCTGATAGATATCAATGGTTATAATATTTTTAGGGAAGACCGCAATCAACAAAGAGGCGGTGGAGTGTGTGTTTTTGTAAAGGAACAAGTGAATGGACAGAAAATATACTCTAGTGTATCCAAAAAATATAGAACCATAAGTCCTATTGAATCAGTATGGCTGAACATCAAAATTGCTGGTTTAAGGTTTATTGTGGCATGTATATATAGGCCACCACACTCGAACGAAGAATCAGACAGGAATATGATAAATGTATTAGCTGAGGTGTGTGCAGAGGACGTACCAGTCTACATCACTGGAGACTTCAATTATGCTGAAATCAACTGGAACAATAAAACACTATATAGAACTGAGAAACTAAATCAACTGTTTTTGGACAGCTTTAATGAAACGAATATTTATCAAATAATAGATTTTTCCACACGTTTCAGGGGTGATCAGGATGCGCTTCTGGATTTGTTTCTAGTAAATAATAAGAAACTGATTTACAACATAGAAAGTGATTCACCATTGGGCCGCAGTGACCATTTGGTTATTACTGGAAAAACGCAACTCGAATATCCAACTAGATCTACCAATAAAATACGAAAACAAAACTTTTGGAAAGCCAACTATGAACAAATAAATGTATTTCTTGCAGAAAACTTGAATTTTGACCCTTCACATTTGGAAGAAAACAGATATGAAAAAATCACCAAAATTATTGACGAAGCTATTACAAAATTTGTCCCATTTACAACTAAAATAATAAATTCTAAAAAACCATGGATAAATCAGAATATTTTTAAAAAAATTACTAACAAACGAAAATTATGGGATAAATATATTAAATCGCCAACACCCGAAAACTATACTGCATACAGGACGGAAAACAACACTCTAAAAAACATAATCGCAAGTGCTAGACAAAACTACGAAAAATCTATCGCCTCTTCCAGCTCACCAAAACAATTTTTTAAATATATTAATAGGACTCTGTCTACAAAAGTATCCAGTTTCACTCTTAAAAACCCCAACAATGGATTACCTATCATGGACGACTGTGACATTGCTGAGGAATTTGCACACCGGTTTGCATCAGTCTTTACGACAACCAATGACTCTTACATTCCAACGCTTTCACAGAGTTCTAGGCTTCTGCAAGAGATTACTAACATAGAATTTACAGAGCTCAACGTTAGCGAAGCCATAAAATCATTAAAAACTGACAGCAGCCCGGGTCCAGATAGTGTACCGACTGTTTTTCTTCAGAAATGTTGTCATGCCCTCGCACAACCTTTAGCATGTCTATTTAATGATTTACTAATATCTGGCAAATTTCCAGATACTTGGTCTCTTTCTTTCGTTACACCGCTTCACAAAAAGGGAGACAGACAGTTAGCTGGTAATTACCGACCAATTAGTCTAACTAGCTGCATCTGTAAATGCATGGAAAAGGTAATCATCCGCACACTTACTCCATACCTAATGGAAAAAGATGTCTTACCCAGCACACAGCATGGATTTCTTCCTGGTCGATCCACAATAACGAACATGACATCTTGTCTTAGCGATTGGACAGCAGCCTTTGATAGAAACCAACAAACAGACGTCATCTATCTTGACTTTGAAAAGGCATTTGATAAAGTACCCCACCAGATGCTTCTTTATAAACTAAACCACTACGGCATAAGAGGGAATTTATTCAAACTTATATCAAACTTCCTAACCCGACGCTACTTCCAAGTCAGAATAAACGGATCTCTTTCAACTAAACACAAAGTGACCAGCGGTGTCCTCAAGGCTCTGTGTTGGGCCCACTGTTGTTCCTCCTGTATATCAGCGATCTGGCAAGAGGCATAAAAACGAATATCATATTTTTTGCGGATGATACAAAGTTATATGCAAATCCCGAAACGAGCTACGTCAATCTTCAGCATGATCTAAGGTTGGTGGAATCCTGGGCCAAACAATGGAGAATGAAACTGAATGAGGACAAATGCACTGTTCTTAGCATTGGAATGAATTGTACGCACAAAACCTACACCCTAAATGAATTAAGTCTAAGACATGTAGAACAACAGGAAGATCTAGGGATTACAGTTACTGGAAACCTAAAATGGTATGTGCATATATCAAAGATTACTAAAAAAGCAAATTCTCTTCTTTATTTCATTCAAAGAGCATTTCAAGACCGCTCTATTGATCTTATTTTAAAGATATACAAGTCCTACATTAGACCCAAAATAGAATATGGTCAAATAATATGGAGTCCCTATTTTCAGAAGGATATTGATCTCATCGAGAAAATTCAACGCAAGGTGACAAAAATGCCCCATGAACTTAAGGATCTAGAGTATGAAGATCGTCTTGCGATGTTAAATCTCACCACATTAAAACAGAGGCGTTTGCGGGGGGACTTGATAGAGACTTACAAAATTCTAAATTGTTTCTACACTTGCCCATTAAATATATACCATCCTTGCCAAACTCCACAACTTAGAGGCCACAGCAGACGCCTGGAAAAGGAAAGATCGTCCAAACTCCAGCGAAAAAATTTTTTGACTAACCGCATAGTGTACCCGTGGAACTCGCTGTCAGAAGAAAGTGTTTCAGTACCAACTCTCAACTCATTTAAAAACAAAATTCATCAAGAAATGAATACCTTGAGTTCTGTACATTTGCATTACGGCCAGTAAACTCGAAAAAATTACGCGCAACATAAAAAGACAGTATACTCATCGGTATTTTTATACCGCTTTCTATTGTGTAAATAATAATAATAATAATAATAATAATAATAACCGACCTGGTTATTCTATTACTGTGTATAGGATTTTAACGTGTAAGACAGTGATGTAGACAGCTTAATGGCAAATCAAATGTATTAAAAAGAGAAAAAAGTTGGGTGGGTATGGGTGGGTACATTTCTTCTGAGCAGTATTGCCGGATTTTGCGTCAAAATTTCAAACCGCATAAGTAGACGTTTCAAAAAAATGTTGCATTTAGGGTTGGATCTGGATTTTCGACAATTAGCTACTCATTTTACTACAACTGTAATAGATTAGATTTAGCTTAGATATATTATCTTCATTTCAGTAGTATACATGAAAATTTTTAACATAGTTTATTTTATTCTAATTTCTTTAAGACTACGATAATACTGGTCGGCAACAGAAAATCTTGGGTCGTTTGTTTTAGTCGTCATTTACCCTACATGTCTAGAAGTGAATCGCTATGGCAATCTTGTAAGTCGGGGAGAGAAAATTATTACCTATCCACTTAATCCGGACCTCAACTTCATGCGCTTGGGAAAATTCTTGCTCTTTTCTCTTTGTTCGTTTATACAATTACAGAGTCTATAAACTGTGTGCACGACAATCGGCACCCAAAGCCGTGTGTACATTATCGGTTATATCATTAAATAAACTAACCAAAAAATATGCTGTATTACGTAGTCACGTACATCCGCAGTTACATAATGAGACAGATAATCAATTAATTACATAATGTAGTAAATAGCGCAAATACTATTGTCGACCATTCTAATCAGTATTAAATAATAATGGAGTGAGACAATGTGAAGTGAGACATTAAATGATTGATCTTTTTGTTAAATTATGTGGTATAACTTAACACAATGATGAATCGTTTAATGTTTCATATGCACCTCCATAATTTTTTAATACATAATCTTTTACTGATTACAGCGTTTGACAACAGAATTTGCGCTTGTAGTACGTTATGTAATTAATAGATTATCCATCTTATTATGCAACTAGGGATGTACGTGTCTACGTAATAGAGCATCAGCATCTCTCTCAGTATATCGTATTGTACTGAACACGTTGGCACACGAGAATCAGCAACCAAAGCCGTGTGTACGCTTCATTAAATAAACTAACCAAAAAATATGCTCTATTACGTTTGATTTGGTTTGGTTTGGTTTGGTTTGTTGAGGATGTACGTAACTACATCCTCAGTTACATAATGCAAAAATAGTTTGGATCTCAGATGATCTATTTCCTTTCCTCACCCTTTCATCTACATAAAGGTGCGTATTCACTATCCGAACGAACGAATGCTACTATCCAACGAGCGAACGTCCAGTCTTGTTCGCGCGGTTCTATAATTCTCATTCGTTTGCAAACGTCTCTGATATACCGACTGGAAACGGATGATGGAGCGAACCGAATGGCGAACGGCCGCATGCATTCGGTTTACTGTCCAAGATGTTCAAATGAAATAATGATTCGATGCTAGTTTTTTTTATATGTATTAAAAGAAATAATTTAAACACAAAAGTCTTATTGCTGCAAAAGTATTGATACGTTAGATGTGTAGGTACTTTAGTTGTACGGGATTATCCCTAATAGGTGTCTATAAAATTTTAGAGACTCTATCACCCGACGTGGACAAACAAAAACCGACAAAAAGAAAGTCAGCTAAAGAATTCATCAGAGATTTCACTGATAAAATAATTGGTGAAGATTATGAAGTAGTTTGGAATGATTTGCCGTCAAATGCAAATGAAGACTGTGATGGTCCATTCACTTGTCCTTTAGAAAAATACGACTGTGACAATTTCACCGATAATTATGATTTTACTTATTGTTGGCCAAAGGACTGGTTAGGTAAATTGGTCATAAAACTACTTTTCTGTAAATAAAAGTTACATTTATACAGGATGGCGTATCTCATCGGCGCGGAGGCTCTAAGGAGAACGGTAGTTTATATCGATATGAAATTTTGGCAACATATGTAGGTTAATTGGAAGCATTTTTTTAAAATATATAGAGTTATACAGGTTGTCCCCCAAAAAAATTACACATCAAAGTTGTGTTTTTTTTGTAATGGAACACTCTATATATTAATTGATTTTCGGATTCTAGGAAAAAAATAAAGGTCAGTTTTATTAAAGAAGCATATACCTAAAATGTAAGGATTTTGACATATTTCACATTATGTGAAAATGAAGAGTATAATTAAATTTTAAATTTCAGTAACAGGCTAGTAACAGCAACAACTACCTAAATTTTAGTTGATCTTGTATAGCCTGATATTTAATTACAGTAACCATTGTGTGTTAAACCAAATTAAAATTTGACCCGAAAAATTATACAGGGTGAGACAAAACTGATATGGCACATTAGTCACTTTTAAAAGCAAGTTACTCCTATATTTTAAAAGGAACACCCAGTAAATTATTCCTTTGTTCAATGTATCTCCAAAATGTTATTAAGGTTGCCTACCCCTCAGACAAAGATTTTCCTGGATATTTTAATTTTTATGATTTTGGTCATATACTTCTCTTATAAAACTCACCTTTATTTTTCTTTCAGAATCCGAAAATCAATTAATATATAGCGTGTTCCATTACAAAAAACACAACTTTGTAGCTTTTTTTGGGGGCACCCTGTAGAACTCTCCATATTTTTAAAAAGTGCTCTGAATTAACCTACATATGCTCACAAAATTTCATTTCAATACAAACTGTACGTAGATTCTTCTTGGAGCCTCCGCGTTGAATAAGAGGCGCCATCCTGTATACAGGGTGGTCCGAACTGTATTCCGGAAACTTCGGCAGCATATTCTGCAGATAAAAATAATTAAAAAAGTTCTTATAAATGTAGTTTCGGAGATACAGGGTGTAGAAGTTTCATTTTTATTTTTATTTTTTCAAATAATTTATGAAGTAACGTCAATATTTGGATGAAATTTATTGTCTGGAAGTTTTTTGACATGAGAAATTTGATTTTGATGCCAATATGACTCCTACTTATAGAGGGCGCCACATACATATTTTTGACTGATTTGAAGAGTAATAAATTTTCAGCCGTACGTTTATAAAACGACTCAGTAAAAAAACCTACATTCACGACGTTTTTTACGTAAAAAAGGTCTCTTGGTAAAAATCGCTACAAGTAATAGTTCTCGAGATATTTGGAATCGAAATTATCAATGCCTGTCATCATTGATTGAAATTAAACGTGTTGACTAAATAGTTATTAGGCTGAAATCATTAATTTGAAATGTTTTTGTGCCAAAAGTTCAACAGAAACTGTTTTATCATCATTTCTTCCCAGAAAAAATTATGATTAATTTAAAGAAATAAAAATAAACCAAACGGTTGCTCGTAGCGATTTTTATCAAGAGACATTTATTACGTAAAAAGTCACGGAAATGTATATTTTTTCACTCAGTAGTTTTATACAGGTACAGACAAAAACTTATTACTTTCAAAATAGTTTAAGCACATGTAGGTGGCGCTCCTTACAAATAGGAGTCATATTGACATCAAAATCAAATTTCTCATGTCAACAAACTTCCAGACACCAATTTTCATCCAAATATTGACGTTACTTCAGAAATTATTTGGAAAAAATCGAAATAAAAATGAAACTTCTACACTCTGTTTATCCAAATCTAAGCATTCTAGGACATACATTTATACAAACTTTTTTACTTATTTTACTTATATCTTCAGAATATGCTGGCGAAGCTTCGGGAATACAGTTCGGACCACCCTGTATATAAATGTAATAATAGAATAATAATCATATTTTAAATAGGCAAAGACTGTAAAAATATAAGAATAATTGGAGTAAATTACGATACAAATTTATCAATGTGGACGCCTTTATGCCCTACAGAGAAAGAAAAGTTTACTCTAAATGAAAGAAGCGATATTATGTCTCAAATGCTCCTAAAATGTGATATCGGTAAAAGACCAATCGTTTGGGTGACTCATTCTATGGGCGGATTAATAGTAAAAAATATTTTGTGCAAAGGTATACTCAAGTTCTACCCATTTCCAATTGAGTAGGATATAAGAATGTAAGTTTTCAGCATATGAAAGTGATAACAAAGATTTGAGAAATATTTGTTTAAATACCAAAGGTGTAGTTTTTTACAGTACTCCTCATTATGGGTCCAAACTTGCAAATTTAAGCAACGCTGTATCGTTGGTTCTTTGGCCTTCGGTAGAAGTTCAGGAGCTTAGAGAAAGTAAATAATTGTAAAATAGTTGTAATATTAAATGTAAACTGTTTACGAATTTAAGACTGTCCCAAATTACAACAAATACATGACAGATTTTTGAAGATTGCTGAAGAGATACCAATGAAAGTGATAACATTTGTTGAGACAAAATCCACTGTTGTTAGTGCAATGAAGTTCAACTTTTTATTGGTTGAACGAAATTCTGGCAATCCAGGTATAGGAGAATACTTTGAGATTCCTCTAGACCATTTGGGAATATGTAAGCCAGAAAACAGGTAGTTATTGTAATATCACCGCTCTGGAGGAACAATGATGCAAATGTTTACAACGCAATTTTACGGGATAGATGAAAATCTAAATTTGAACCGATAATAAAGTGCTATTATTAAGGAAACATGCATTTTTAATAATGGTATTATAGACATTTTTAATTTTAAAATCAGTTTTATGTCTCCCAAGTGAAATTAAATGTTTGTTTATGTCTCGCAAGCGTTATTGTTCTTCAAGAACGGCGATTAGTAATGAATTGTTTTTAAAATATTATGATGGATTTATAAGTAGGTATGTGTATATATTTACAAAGTTCAAAATAATTTCAGATTTTCGTTCTTGTATCAAAAGGTTCTCCATTTGCTAAAAGAAGTGAAGGAAGATATATCGGAAGAAGATCAGTTTTCATTATTTTCGTTCTTATGGTAAAGAATTATATTTTTTAAACCCTCTTAATAAATATTATTAAATGTGTATTAAGAAATTATTAAATGTGTATTATTTTTTTACTATTTGAATAAGAATACGTATAAGATTTATAGATAAATCATTCACACACGCAGTTTTATTGTTCTATATTAGTAAACTGTATTTAAATGTTTTTTTTTCCTGTTTAAATACAATTTCATATCAAAAAGAAGTTTTTATCGGTTTTTACATTTAACTCCAGAGAAAAATTTCAAATGAGCGCGTGATGCTTAGTATCGATACCGACCCGTGTTATAGCATCATATATTTACATACTTTGTAATCGATTATAAACAGAGATGATGTTGCCCTATATCTCTGACTATAACGATCATATATACTTTTTCCATAGATGGCTTTTTGCCATTACATGTCTTTAGAATCTGTAGGTGCAAGACAAGACAACTTTTTTATATATGATATAATAAATATATTTATCACTCTGAATTAATAAAAACTGATAACATTTAATCTATGGTTATGGTTGTTTCTGGCTGTCAACGTCAATATTTAAAAGTTTTGCCACATTTTAATAATTATTTTTGTAAAAATATTAAAATAATATTTATGCAGCTTTTTGTCTTAATATCTTCAATTTGCATCAGTAATATTTTATCTATCTACATTAAATAATATCTACCAATCTTTAGTCGTTTAACCAGTTTTACAACCATTCAGTGACAACATTGATTTAAAGTAGAAAATGGTAAATTCCTTTTAATTTTTTTTTGCAGTAAAATATTAAAATTTTCTGTATTTAAGGATATCAGCTTATTTTCCAGTGATAATTTCAACCCTAAAAAGTGGGTTAATGACATGTTGAAAATTGCAGAGAGTCAAGAGAAGAAAGATGTTTGTTTACCTTTTTCTAATAATTCAATTTATTCAATTCCCTTACTTTTAGAGCAATTATACTGTAGGATTAGTCATGAAACTTCAGTTGTACGTACAACAAGTAAATAATGCTTTGGAAAATAGCAGTCAACAAGTATTAGCTTCTCTACCAAAAATAATACATGATAGTAAAGCACTACACCAAGAAGCGTTGATTTTAAAAGAGAAAATGGAGCAAGTTAAAGAAGAGATTATTATAATAGAGCATGACACCAGAAAAAGTATTAATACAATTGAGAAATTAGATAATATGAAGAATCAATTAGAAGTGGCCAAACAAGGACTCCATGAGAGTGATAATTGGACTATTTTAGGTAAATAATAAATTTAATTAATCTTAGTAAATAAAGAATTATTCCTTTTCCAGTGAATGATTTAGAAGAAGTATTTGATTCCAAGAATATAGAGGATATATCGACAAAAATTTTAAGCATGCAAAATTCTTTGAAACTGCTAATTAATGTGTCAGATTATGAAGATAGGAAGTTACACTTGGAAGGATTAAAGAATAGATTAGAAGCCATTGCCAGTCCTACAATTGTACAAGCTTTTACATCCTTAAATACTGGTACTAATATTCATTTTTACAACATATATCTTATACAACTCTTTATGTTTAAATTTTAGATCAGTCACTATTTTTTGTTCGAGTTTTTTCTTCTATTGGAAGACAAGCAGAATTGATGAAATATTATAGAAATTGCCAACGTGACATATTACTAAAGAAATGGAGAAATCAGTTAGAACTAGAGCAAGATGAATCTGTTGTTCAATGGATTCACAATTATTATGATCTATTACTATCAAATTGGCATAACCAAACTAAATGGATTAATCAAGTATTTACAGGGGAATCATCACAAGATACTTTACTTAATATTTATATTGATGTCTTAAATTCACTTGATCCATCTTTAAATGAATGTGTTGATGCAGCGCTCAAACAAACCCCAGATAAACTGACTTTGTTACAAGATCTTAAAGAAGTTACCAAACAATTTTCATTAAAAATGTTGAATCTCATAGAACAGGGAGTACAAGGTATGGAATAATATAATCATTAGATTACTTAATTAACAGAGATGATTTACATTATATTTTTTAAAGGGAAAAATAAACCTGAATATGAGAATTTCCTAAAGGCTGTGTTTAAGTATTTGATAGTGTATATATGTAAATATGCTGCCTATGAACAAGCACATTTAATGAAACAACTGAATAGTATAAATTGTATGAAGGATGAACTGCCTGACACAATACAAGCTTTAGGATTAAGTATAATACAAGTTATTGATTATGCTACAGAATCCAAAAAAAGATGTGAAAGACTTACAGAAAATTGTGGATTTTGTGGTCTGTTAGTAGCTTTAAAGGCATTTTTCTCTAATTATGCCGGCTATTTTAGGTAAAAATAATATTTTGACTTTCTACTTATATTTTATTTACCAAAAATTCTCTGATTTAGATATACAAAGTGTTTAAATAACATGCGCCATCTCTCATGGGGAGATTCCTCCCGTAGAAATAAGATTTATTTTTCATATCAACATTGGTCCGATTCTGCTTTGTTTTGTAGCTACAGGGTGTTAAAGTTTTATTATTTTTTCGATTTACTATAATTTTCTTCCAAGTACTTTTAGCGTTTCGAATGAAATTTTGAGTGTAAAAGTTACTATAAATGCTACATATTTTAAAGCTAAAAAAGTGTTGACATATTCACCAGGGACATTCAGCATATACGCCACTGATTTTTTTCTCTCCTGTTAGCGTAATAGCGTAAGCAGTTTAATGCCAATTAAAAGTAGTCTCTTGATATTTTGTTGATTTCCACCTCCTTGATGAGATAAACGCAATTTTATTAATTTGCCTTGATCGAAGTCTAAAAGCAACCTTTAAAAAAATTTAATATCATTAACTTGCGAAAGTTTTAAATAAGTACTCATTCAGTCGTCCCTATCATGGACGACTGTGACATTGCTGAGGAATTTGCACAACGGTTTGCATCAGTCTTTACGACAACCAATGACTCTTACATTCCAACGCTTTCACAGAGTTCTAGGCTTCTGCAAGAGATTACTAACATAGAATTTACAGAGCTCAACGTTAGCGAAGCCATAAAATCATTAAAAACTGACAGCAGCCCGGGTCGGGATAGTGTACCGACTGTTTTTCTTCAGAAATGTTGTCATACATAGACCTTTAGCATGTCTATTTAATGATTTACTAATATCTGGCAAATTTCCAGATACTTGGTCTCTTTCTTTCGTTACACCGCTTCACAAAAAGGGAGACAGACAGTTAGCTGGTAATTACCGGTAATTAATTAGTCTAACTAGCTGCATCTGTAAATGCATGGAAAAGGTAATCATCCGCACACTTACTCCATACCTAATGGAAAAAGATATCTTACCAAGCACACAGCATGGATTTCTTCCTGGTCGATCCACAATAACGAACATGACATCTTGTCTTAGCGATTGGACAGCAGCCTGTGATAGAAACCAACAAACAGACGTCATCTATCTTGACTTTGAAAAGGCATTTGATAAAGTACCCCACAAGATGCTTCTTTATAAACTAAACCACTACGGCATAAGAGGGAATTTATTCAAACTTATATCAAAGTTCCTAACCCGACGCTACTTCAAAGTCAGAATAAATGGATCTCTTTCAACTAAACACAAAGTGACCAGCGGTGTTCCTCAAGGCTCTGTGTAGGGCCCACTGTTGTTCCTCCTGTATATTAGCGATCTGGCAAGAGGCATAAAAACGAATATCATATTTTTTTGTGGATGATACAAAGTTATATGCAAATCCTGAAACGAGCTACGTCAATCTTCAGCATGATCTAAAGTTGGTGGAATCCTGGGCCAAACAATGGAGAATGAAACTGAATGAGGACAAATGCACTGTTCTTAGCATTGGAATGAATTGTACGCACAAAACCTACACCCTAAATGAATTAAGTCTAAGACATGTAGAACAACAGGAAGATCTAGGGATTACAGTTACTGGAAACCTAAAATGGTATGTGCATATCTCAAAGATTACTAAAAAAGCAAATTCTCTTCTTTATTTCATTCAAAGAGCATTTCAAGACCGCTCTATTGATCTTATTTTAAAGATATACAAGTCCTACATTAGACCCAAAATAGAATATGGTCAAATAATATGGAGTCCCTATTTTCAGAAGGATATTGATCTCATCGAGAAAATTCAACGCAAGGTGACAAAAATGCCCCATGAACTTAAGGATCTAGAGTATGAAGATCGTCTTGCGATGTTAAATCTCACCACATTAAAACAGAGGCGTTTGCGGGGGGACTTGATAGAGACTTACAAAATTCTAAATTGTTTCTACACTTGCCCATTAAATATATACCATCCTTGCCAAACTCCACAACTTAGAGGCCACAGCAGACGCCTGGAAAAGGAAAGATCGTCCAAACTCCAGCGAAAAAATTTTTTGACTAACCGCATAGTGTACCCGTGGAACTCGCTGTCAGAAGAAAGTGTTTCAGTACCAACTCTCAACTCATTTAAAAACAAAATTGATCAAGAAATGAATACCTTGAGTTCTGTACATTTGCATTACGGCCAGTAAACTCGAAAAAATTACGCGCAACATAAAAAGACAGTAGACTCATCGGTATTTTTATACCGCTTTCTATTGTGTAAATAATAATAATAATAATAATAATAATTATTCCTCATCAAAAAATATGAAAAAAAAAAGTTCCTATAAACATGGGTATGGAAACGCATAGTCTTAGAATTACAGGATGTGTTAATCCTCAACTGGCGTGGTGAACTTTTGTAACGCTTATGGCGTGCTGGGGTCCCACAGACCCCAATTTTTTTTTCAGTTAAAAATACATGATGAAGAGATTTTATAAAAAGCTTGTTATTTTAACATTGTTTACGCTATATTCAAACTTGTGAACAAATAATTTCATTAATTTTCAACAAATGAATAAGAACAGACACAAAAATAAAGTAAAACGCATTTTTTGGAATTTTTGACAACAGAAATATAACTTGGCTAAGAAACCCATAGAAATTAAAAACATATATATTTTATGATTTTACCGTATTATTAAAAGTACAAACAACTGAAATGTGAAGCTAAAGTAAAAAACATATATTATTTTCAACAAAACTGCAAACCTTGAATGTACATGACTTTTTCAAATACAGTTCATGCTAATATATAGGATCTGCATTTGCCGCACATGGATCGTGCACATTTGATTCATGAGATTTTTGTTTTTTGTCATGTATTCATTGACATATGGTTGCCATATACCACATCTCTTTCTTTTCTGGTATTGATTATTCAGTTTTATCTCTTCTATCAAGGTCTCGATGATGTTCATCTCACTTAAGCCTCTTTAAGTTCATCAAATCACTCAATTAATGCTTCTTCAAAATTATCGTCCCAGTGAGGCACACTATTTATGAAACATTCTTGGCGTGGTGGTGCCACACAGACCGCAATGAAACTTTATCCCCCGCTGGTAGGAACAATACTTGATAAAATCAAGTGCGCCTTTAACAGTTGCATATTGGCACCCTAACTTAAAGGTAAATGGCGCGGCGGGGCCTAATTCTTAAATGTAAACATTTTACAGAGGTTTATATAGCGCTTGGGGTCCGCTGGACCCCACCACGCCAGTTGAGGGTTAAACTTTTTAAAATTAATTTTGGTTTTTTATAATTATCTCAAATACCATTATTTTTTTATTTGAAATTGCTGTAGGTTGGACCAATAGTAATAATAACTAATGACAATAATAAAAATAGGTAAAATATATGATTTATTAATTTTATTTTAATTTTATTAATTGTGATTAATAAAATTGCGTTTATCTCATCAGTGAGGCCGAATTCGACAAAATATCAAATGATAACTTTTAATATGCATTAAACGGCCTACACAATTTTAAAATAAACAAACAATAAATATCATAAAGTAAACTCCCATAAAGCCCAACAAAAGAAAAAAGTCAGTGGCGCACATGTTTTTTTTAGAAAAATATTCCAGTGATCACCCATATGCGCGTCCCTGATGAATTTATCGACACTTTTTTAGCATTAAGATATGAAGTGCTTATAGTAACTTTTATCCTGCAAATTTCATTTGAATCACTAAAAGGACTTGGAAGAAAATTACAGTAAAGCGAAAGATTAAGACTTTAACACCCTGTAGCTATGAAACAAAGCAGAATCGGACCTCAATTGATATGAAAAATAAATCTTATTTTTACGAGAGGAATCTCCCCACGACAGATGGCACATGTTTTTTTGAAACACCCTGTATAACTTTATAAAAAAACGTTACTCTTATTTTTCACAGTTTTGTCTTTATTTTTATTAGAGTCGCATTGAGACAAATTGAGAGGTCCAAAAAATTTGAAGAAGACTGGAATACTTTTCAACTATGCCTTTCTTTATTACAATACACTGGTGAAGTTCTGTTAAAAATACAACAATTGGAAAAGGATTTAACTTCAACTATTCTTGAATTCAATAACAAAGAAACTGAACTCAAATTCAGCAAGCTTCTTTTAGATGCAGCAAATTTAAGAGAATTTCAGTCTCTTGTAAGATGCGTGACCGAAGGAACGCAACTCTCGCTCCTCGATAATGTAACAACAGAGTTTAATAAGTTGTGTCTGGATATACATCATACAACTTATAACGTTGTATTTAGACCCATATCAAAACAGTTAGATGTAGTAGCTGCTGTGGATACATGGGCCCAATTTGATAATTCATCCTTGCACAGTTCTGATCTGCCGGATTATAGTTTTTCACCACAGGAATATATTACCCAAGTACTAATATTAATATAGGGTGTGCCAAAAAGTTCACATCAAATGGGAAAAATCTGTATTGTTGAGTTACTAGCTTTTTTCGTTTTCCTGTTATTACCGATTCTGAACCGTCCTAGAACTCTGCAGCGCATGCGCAAATAAAATAATCTCTTCATATTTCCTTCTGCGCATACGCATCACAGTTCTAGGACGGTTCAGAATCGGTAATAACAGGAAAACGAAAAAAGCTACTGAAAAAAAAAATTGATTTTGACATATATGTCAAGAAACAAAAATTGACAAAACTAGTCAAAGTAAAACTTGTCGAGAATTTGATTTTGTGTCTATGTAACAAGTTTATAAATATAGAGAGGATTTCAAAAGATATCAAACTTTTAATATTTATCTGATTTTTTTGGAGTAATTTTTTTTGCTAAAGTTTACAAATTTAGTTCAACAAGAATACACTCTAATTTAATATTTTTTCTTTACAGTTCTATAATTAATAGTAAATAGTAAAAAATACAACAATTCAATATTTAAGATACAAAATGTATTGCAGTGGCCAAACAAAAACTTCAACCTATATTTTTATGAGATCATTTAGAAAGTCTATCCTAATAGACTTTCTAAATATTCCCCTTTCTTGAATATTAGGGAAAGTTGAGTAATTGAATGTTATTGCATCCAACAACCACGTAATTACGCTCTCCTGTACGCGTTAATATTTTTCGGCAATTTTATTAACATTTGAAACTGTCAAAACACCTCGCAACGCCTAGTTCGTATTCTGTTTCACTTAATTTTCACGGTAGCCTACTAAAATGCCGTTAATAGATATTGTGACGTTGATGTCGGCGGGAAGTAATGCTTAGCTATAGGCGTTTTGCTAGAGCACCTGTGGCTCTGTGGCTGAGGCTATCTCTTCGTGAACGAATGGTCCGTGGTTCAAATCTCACGCCGACCAAGACTTTTTTATATATTTTTTTTGCTTATAGCGTGATCTTATTGCATTGGTTTCATTCTTTTTGGTTGAATTGGTTTAGTTATTTGGCGGGTTGGTTAGCGTGGTTATTTGGAGGGTGTTAATTCATTGGTTAGTTGGTTATTTGGTGGGGTTGGTTGGTTTTTACTAATTTATATTTGTTTTTTATATTTTTTTACCAGTGTCGAGGTTAGTTGCGTTGGTTAAGTTGGTTATTTGGTGGGGTAGATAGCGTTGGTTAGTCCTTATAAAATTTCTATATTTCATAAAGCCGTCAAGTGCGTCACATCAACGACGTCATACCACAATTTATTAACGGCATTTTAGTAAGCTACCGTTTAACGGCAATTTAAGTACAGCAAAAACTAAAATACTTAAATATTATGACAAAGCCACAACTTCAATATTATTTTAATGCGATCAACTAAACTGTAACCGGGACAGCGTGAAATACATAGCGAAAGATTCTGATTTCTGCCGTAGAAAGCGCTGCGGTCGAAATTTTTTGAAATCAGCTAAAATGCGCCAAGCCTATACATTTCTTTTCCATTTGTTCCAAACTTTTCCGAAAGTATAAAAGATTTTACATATATTTATTTTTCAGATTGGCCAGTACTTAATGACACTACCACAACATTTAGAACCGTTTTTATTCAGCGACAATCCTTCACTAGCATGTGCTCTTAAATCTGTTGATCAAGAATATGCTGAAAGCTCCGACACAGAAGGTGCATTAGCCAGAACATTCTTGATAATTATTGCCAGAGGAACTTGTAACACGTTTACTGATAAGATTTTATCACTTTGTAAACTAAGTCAGCCCGCCAGCAGACAGTTGTCCCATGATATAAGTACGTATGAGTTGAGCACTGAATAAAAAAACCTAAAGCGGCCCATACATTATCAAACAAATTGCGCAACGTTGCGTTGCACAACTGATTCAGCGATCCATACACTATCAAACAAGTTGCGCAACAAAGCGATGCGCAACGTTCCGTTGCACAACTGCATCACCCTTAGTAAAATTTAGATCAAACTTTTTATTAAAAGTTGTGCATTGTTTAAGAAACAATCATGTCCTCAATTGCCATTGCGTCAATTATTATAGTATATACCCTAGATGATGTCAATGATACCAAAAACGAAAAAGAAAACAAAGAATTTGGATGAAAGAACTAAAACCATCAAACGTTACCATACATTGGCAACTCGTTGCACAACAGCCTGTGTTGCGCAATTGTTTGATAATGTATGGGCCGCTTAATGAAGGAGTTAATACTATTTTTATATAGAGTCGGAGACGACACGATCTCATAGATCTACCATCTGATTCAGTTTTGTTTGACGTTTCACTTTGCACATTTGGTTTAGATTTTATTTTTTTTTCGTATTTGTTGGGCTTTTCTGAGTTTACTTTGATCTTTATTGTTTGTTTATTAGGGTGGTCCGAAGTGTATTCCGGAAACATCGGCAGCGTATTATGTAGATAAAAATAAGTAAAAAAGTTCGTATAAATGTATGTCCTAAAATGCTTAGTTTCGAAGTTACAGGGTGTAGAAGTTTCATGTTTATTTAGATTTTTTCCAAATAATTTCTGAACTAACGTCAATATATTTAGATGAAAATTGGTGTCTTGAAGTTTTTTGACATGAGAAATTTGATTTTGATGTAAATATGACTCCCATTTGTAGGGGGCGCCACCTAAATGTGTTTTAACTGTTTTGAAGAGTAATAACTTTTCGTTCGTACCTGTATAACACTATTGGGTGAAAAAATATGCATTTCCGTGATTTTTTACGTAAAAAATGTCTCTTACTAAAAATCGCTACGAGCTTATTTTGAAAGAGAATAAGTCAGGACTTGAATTAAAGTGAAATTATCGCAAAATATTGATTTTATTCTTGCATTTTCACAATTTATTTACTACTTGTCAAAAATAAGTGGATATGCCAATCGGATTTGTGGGTGTCCATCGTTTTTGCAATTTTATTGGTTTATTTCAAAAATGACAGATCATACTTTAACATGATTGATGTGACAAAACGACGGACGATGCATGACGGATGCATACAAACCCATACTTAGCTGTTTCAGTAGCGTATCTGTTTTTTGTTATTAAATATTTATACTAATCTTTTTATTTTTATTACAAATATATTTTTAGAAATATTATAACAAATAAAAAAAAATTGTATGTGCACTATGCTCGCATATTTGAAGTGAAATTTCTTTTTACTTCCACCTGTCTGTCCGTCTGAGGACTCTATTCGGGTACATCTATCAACGTACCAATCAACCCATAACTAAGAAAAATCCTGATAATTTCGTCTATTTAGAGGCATCGGTTCGAAACGTAGAGGGCGTCATCCTGTAGCCCGTCCCCAATTATGACGAAATCGACCGTGTGGGACCGTGTACTTCGCTCACATAGCCTACCCACCAAATTTGGTTGCGATCGGACGACATCGATAACATCGAACACAACTTTTGACGTTTCTTACGTCAAAACTAACTGTCACAGTGCCTTGGTCCAGTCTATGGATATACCAAGTCTCATTTAAATCGGACGATTTTTTGATTTGATTCATTGATGATAGGGTTTCGTAGTGCACGAAATGCCGTCAAAATACCATGAAAATGGGGCCCTAGCTCACATAGGGCCCGATTTACGACGGTCCAAGATCGTTACCACTTTTCCTCTCGCGTCTCGTGTGTCGCGGCCTTCAATTTTTACTCTCATCGCGCGTCTTTACGTTTCACTTCAATATTTATGGACTCAACATGAATAGACATCTACAACAAATTATTGAGTAATCCATTTGAATAAAATCAGAACGCCACTGATAAAACTGGAATTTAACCCAACCATGTTAAAGTACCGTCGCGGTCGCGTTAGTTTTGTTGATATTTATACCCTTCCTTTGTCTGCAATTCAATGAAGTTGATTTTTAGAAATTTTTAATATTATGTACTTGAATTTAAAAAAAAATGAAAATGGTTAGGTTTAAATTAACTGTATTTATGAAAGAGGCCTCTCAAAAAAATTAAAATCAGTATCATTGTACTTTTCCTTAAAAATCTGAGTTTCATACATATCTAATATTTTTTTATTTCAAAAACTTTACAGATTATTTGAGAAATGTGCTTCAAGATTTAGGTATACCATTGTCTGAGAATTTAGATCAGCTTTCATCTCTACTAAAAATACCAGCTGATCAGTACCAGAATCAAAGTTTAGGCTGCTCAGCAAAATATGTGGCTGCAATTCGGCAAATAAGAAATATAACTTCAAATTAAGCTTAATTTTATTTTCAGCAATATAACTTAAGCTTTATAAGATATAATCTTATATATTCTATAGACTTAATATTTATACATGTATTGTAAATATTTATTTTAATATATTGTTATCCAAATTCAGGTGACCATAATTTGAATGTCCTATCGTAGGAACTTGTGGCTATATAATTGTTATCAGGAGAAAGATCGCAGGACATTATTTTACCGTCATGTCCTGACAGAGTTTTCAGTGGTTGCCAGGTTTTATTAGTCCATAATTTGACCTTATTGTCATATGAAGCAGTGGCCAAATAATTCCCATCAGTTTTTTGAAATTTTACATCTGATATAAGATTGTTATGAGCAGGAATGGTATATATGTGGGACCTCTTTCGCAAATCCCATATTTTACAATTGTTATCTTCACTAGCTGTAGCTATATGGTATCCATCTGGTGAGAAATCTATTCCTGTAATATAATTTATATTTGATAATGAATTATTTTAAATGAGAAAATAGAAAGTAATACCATAAATTGATTTTAAATGTCCTTCCATAAACATTACACATCGCCCTGTACGTAAGTCCCAAACCCTTCCAAAAGAATCTAAACCACCCGTAGCACACACTGATCCATCTGATTGAAAAGAAATACAGTACACTGGTTTAACATGTCCTTCTTGATGAAGGACTTCTGTGCATTGTTGTAAATCCCATAATCTCCAGGAATTATCAAAACAGCAAGTACCTACATCATTAAAAGAATAGAAATTATATTTTTTTCTTAAAACAGTTAGTGTTGTTAATGATTTCCAAGATTGGTTATAAAATGAAGGAATAACTATAAACTTACCTAAAAATCTACCAGATGGATGGAAACTAATTCTAGAGACTCTATGTGGCATATGGCCTTCTATGTCTGCAATTGGTTCTTCACCTTTAAAATCCCACAATTTTACTGACCCATCTGCTGCACAAGACGCCATATTACAAATTGTTTCCTCTTGTGAAATAGTCGCTTTTGGATGAAATACTATAGCTCCTACATTACATGTGTGTCCTTTCAGAGTTTGCTTTAATTCACAATTTGGTACAGTCCAAATTTTACACAAACCACTCCAAGAGGCTGTGGCTAAGAGCTTTGAATTTGGACTAAATGTACAATAAGAAATAGGTCTAGTGTCACCTATTTGTGACGAGTGAATGGCCATTTGTTGGAGTTTCTTCTGTAGTTCTTGCGACCTAAAATAAATCTTATTAAAATAAAAATAATAACAACAGGCTAAACATACTTGGCTGTTTTTGTAGTTGCAGGTAATTCTAAAAAGTTTCTAGCCTCTTCCAGCCTTAATTTTGCACGTGGAAGGGAATATTCTGCAATCCATAACCTAAATTAAAATATGAATTACTTTAATGGCTACAATTAACTAGAGATCAAAATTTACCTTGCAATTCTTAAAGAATCGGGGCCCTCATGATACCATGTTTGCTCTTGGTCTTTTTCAAACTGTTTTCTTTCTTCTTCGGCTTCTCTACGAATAACAGAATCCTCTCCCAATCGACTTAAAATATCCCGAAGTCGACTCCTTCTTTCCGCCGGGCCTTCTCCAAATAAACAAATCGGCTCTCCCAATTGCCTCAAGTTTCTCTTAACCTCCCCGTCATCAGTGGAAACATTTATGGATCGAGCCTTTTTCCGCCTTTCAAACTCCTCTAAAAGAGCTTGTTTATCTCTGGACATTGCCTCCTCGAGACCGATATATTCATTTTGTTCCTCGGGAGGGGGAGGCGGAGGAACTCCCGGTTCAGAATTAGTATCATTGCTTTCTTCATTTTCCTGCCCTACAGTCTCTAATCTATTCCTTTCCGCATCTTCTAATGAACCATAATGAATTGTTTTTTGCTTCTTAATATACAATACCTCGTCATCAGACATGATCTATTTAATGGAACTACTACCTAATGTTTATTGTATAATTCCGTCTATACAAAATGAAATTTGAACATTTATCTTTTCATATAAAATACGTATCCAATGATACATTTATATGTTTTCTGTGAATATTTTTAGTCTCAACTCAACCAGGTCTCAAAACTTTATTTTGATATGATTTTGATCGAAAATGAAAACAATTTTGGTGAGGTTAAGAAATAATGACGTTATTTTTTCGTCAGCACCGTTGCCATATTTTACAAATATTTTCAAACCTTTTCCCGATCTTCGTAGCTTTTCACAGGTACATGCTTTTCATTCTAAAAAAACTATATAAATTTATTTACAATTTTAAATAAAAGTACCGTAATCGCGAATATTTTGTATTTGGATATTGAATTTGTAATAAAGAATACATAATATTTGAATAATGAAAAAGGACAAAAGACTAAATCTGGCAATTAATTTTTATTTTGGGGTTTCGTGACAAGCAGAGGTGGCAGGGCAGAATATCTAAAAAATAAAATCCCTATTATAATTCCCCATGTTTATAAAATATTTTCTAGAAATTTTAATAAAAAAGTGAACAGGCAAGTAATTTTTTCCCTACATGGGAATTTTCTATCTCTCTCACTTAAATTGAATTTTAAAATACGGAGAGGTATAAAACAGGAGGGATAAAACTTCTATTTAGCGATATGATAATTCTATTGAAGAAAATCAAACAAGTTTCAGAAGATTTATCCTGGAGTCTGTATAATAAATATTTAAATTTCCAACCACGTTTGTTTGTTATGATTCGGTAACGCGTTAATACGTTCGTTGAACTTGACATGTCCATGGATTTTCTATTTCTTTTCCCAGGCTTGGGAAAAATCTCAAGTTTATAAAAATAAATATGAAAGGCCTAATTACAATCGGTACAGTCTGTAAAGTTAGTATAAATTTTGACCCCGTTTTGAGTTTGCGTTTCTGTGTATTCGATGCCGTTACTTTAGCCTTAAAAAGCTAGTTGTTTCTGAAAAGTTGATGAGAAACAGTGGCCTGTGAAATCCTGTGAAAATGTGATAGATTGTTTTAAAATATAGACATTTTCCTACATACATCTTTTTAAGACGAAATGTATTGATTTGCCTTAAAGGCTTGGCCGGCGAATAAACGGACTATACATGATTTTCTAGGGTCTTACGTGGTTTCTATTGGCTCACTGAATCATAAAAAAATAAGGGACATATTTTTTATGGGAATTTTCTAAATGACTGAACATTTACATAGAAATCTCCAAATTTTTGAGAAAATCACGAATGTTTTCATACGTGACAAAAATTGTAAAACAGTTAAATGTAGTGATTAGTGGCAGTGATAGTGTAATGTTTTTGTGTTTTCAAAGACAAAATTATGATATTTAAAAAAGAAATGAAAAGTGTGAAGTATATTGATTATTTTTAATGTTTCCAAGTTCTTTAAAACGCTGACTCATAAATAATTTTGAGGAATTTGACATTTTATGTTGTGGGAAGATAATTTTTTGTAAGTTAAACAAAAAGTTTGGAATTTTTTCGTTATTTTTTTGTATACATAACCAAACAAAACATTTAAGAAAAATGTTACCCCAACAATATTGCTTAAGATGGAGATATCATCATTCCAATTTACAAGCGATGTTTTCGCAACTTTTGGAAAGAGAAGCCTTTTGTGATGTTACATTAGCTTGTGAAGGGCGAACCATAAAGGCACATAAAATAGTTCTTTCGGCGTGCAGTACCTACTTTGAAACTATATTGTCCCAGTATGAAGAAAAAGACCCAATACTTATCATGAAAGATATTAAATATGTAGATATCAAGTGTCTGGTCGAATTTATGTACAAAGGAGAAATTAATGTTGAACATGTAAGTACCTAGTCAAATTAAACCATAATTTCAATTGTTTTTGCAAAAATATATAAACACATAATAGATACCTACCTATGTACTATGTACCTCATATTTCCAATAATTCATTTCGATTATGATGTAGGTATTTGAAGATAAAACTGAAATACAGTTTTTATTATACTTATATTAATTATACATTTTCCATTATTATTTATATTTATTGTGGGTTAAAAATGACATTATCTTTTATAATGAAACAAGAAAAAAAAATCTGTCATTTATTAATAATGATAGGTAGGTATTTTTAAAGTTTATCTTTTGTTTATCATATTTCTATAATGTAATTTTTTGGTGAAACTAATTTTAAGTGTTGTTTTTTATCTTAGGATATACTTTCATTATTTAAGCAAGTACCTATTTAGTTCAAAAGACCTTGTAAGCTACGTAAAAATTGGTTTATAAATCTGAAAATAAGAAATATAAAAAACCAATCAATATAAACTTTTTAACATATTGGTTCACAAGATACTGATGAAATTTTTCATTTTAAAGCCTACATAAATGTAAGGTCAACAATTACAAAAACCGAAAATGATTTAAGATCTCAATGTTACACAGTAAAAATTTATCCACAACCTACATTTCTGAAAATGGTGACTAATAAAAATTCCCCTTTTTTGTATATATATCAAGGTACCTACATACATAGAGTTTTAAATTTTTTCAGCGTTAACTAATTTTTATTTATATTTTTAATTTGTGTATCAATGTTGCGTATACTATACTGTGTTTGGCATATTATTATCAGAATATTTTTGGTAATTTTAGTTTTTTGTATGATTTGTATGTGTTAAAACCAAGATAGAGGCTGTTTCTCGATTTATATAATATACAGGGTGTCCCAATATACCGTGGAAAAAATCTAACTCTATACAAAAGTGTTTAGTTTGTCCGTTGGAGGGTATCAGACTTTAAAAAATAAACATATTTTTTAAGATATCTTATTAACTGATATTCCGATTTGAATTAAATTGGGGTCCCTCTGTTTTGCTAAATGCTTTAACATTTGACTTTCCAAAAAAAGACGGAATACGTACGAGGAGGGTGAAAACTACACCCACCCCAACATAAATTTTAGTAGAAATATTTTGCTTCAACTTAACAACCATTACTGATTTTTCGGGTTTTGCCACTCAAACCAAACCAAACCAAACTAGCCTAAAATTCTTCCGTAAAAGTGAAAAAACACTTATTGATTTTTTAATCGTTATTCTTATGTGAAAAGCCATCTTGTAATAAAAAATTCACAGTCCTTTACAAAGATGCAACCGGGGGGGCATTGAAAATGATGAGTAAAAACGTAAAAATATGATTAGTGTTAATATGAGTGTATTACATACATATTTTTAAATAACGAACTTAACAAAAAACAATAGGTTTAAAGATTCACTGAATAAGTAGTAATGTTAACATTAAATAAAACATTATCAATAATAATTATGCGATCGCACCTGTCCGTAAAACAAACAAGCAAAAAAACAAAATAACATACAAAACATCAGGTTAATATGATGACAGATAAAGAATTCTTACGGAAAGTTACACTTTACGATATCATTTTTTAACTGTTAAAGGCAAACCCCATTTAAACACAAAACTTTTTAATACCTACTACTGTATCTAAAAGATTTTTTTTAAAATTACTAAATTCTTAGCCACGCTTCTGTTTTTCTTGGCTGTTGTGCGTCACGTCACAGATTAACAGGCCCACGTTTGCACCACAAGGCGATGCTGCAGACCACTAGGTAGACCGGTCGTAGAAATTTATGTTATAGAACTTGTAGTCAATCTACACAAATATTATCAAAAGCTTTTTTCTTTTAAAATGTGTTCAGATTTTGTAAAAAGTATAAGTCAAAATCGCAAAACTTAAATTTGATATGAGTTTCTTAGTTTTTAACTAATATAGTGGCGAATTACAGAAATTCCTTTTCAATGAAAATTAATCAGTTAAATAAAATAATTTAATAAATTTCTAGCTTTTTCCCGCGACTACGTTCGCGTTACATCTCGAATCGTTTATGCATTGATTTCAATGATTTTTTACTTCTTTATAGAGAGCTAGTGAGCATAGATGTTTTTTATTTTTCATCTTTTTTTTATTTATCAAGAGCACTAATACTCTCTTTATAGGTTATTTTTTTATTCTTTGAAGGATAATTGAGGAAGATATATTTCGTTATGATGTCACTAAATAAACCCTTGTATAAAATGTTATACTGTCTGGTTTATAATGTTATAGTAATTGCATTTTCGTACAGCAAACTTTCATTCCCTATTCTACTCCCTAAGTGTATAAATTTCATAAATTCGCTTTATCTTTGTGCCAATTTTTATGTGTATAATCCAGAGGTCACCAAGTTTTATATAAATTTTTACTAACTTTACCCATTTGGTTGATGAATTTCAAAAATTTCTTCTAATTCTTTTTGTAGGATTTCATTCTTCTAGACCAAATAGTAAGGAATTTTCATACAACAAACTGTTCCGACATAATTTTACTCTCTAAGAGGATGAATTTCCTAAAATCGCTTTGTGTAGCTAATTCACTAATGTCGTTTAAACGAACCTTTGTGCTAATATTTATGTATCTAAAGCTGGCGGTATGAACTCACTCCTAAAATATCTAAAAACTTAATATATAATCTAACTGACACACCACTGACAATGACAAATAATTTATTTCTGGAGATATTGTGTGTAGGTGTTTTTCAGGTATGTTTTAGTATTTAGTCGTTTTACACAAAGAAATAGCCATTAAGCACTATGAAAATAGTGCATAACAAATCTACACATGTATACCGTATGATCGAAAAAAACGGCGTCCAGTTGGCTGGGAAATGACGATCGATGACATTTCCCATATAAATTTACATATAAAATGACAGCGATCTTCATTTCATAGCCATCGCTGACGCCGTTTTTATTCGATCATATGGTACCTTTCATTTAAAAAAAGAATCATCAAGATTGGTGAAGCGGTTTCGGCGGGATGGATGCAACAAAAAAACCCTTTGAGCTTTTATATATGTATGGATTAATTATTTTTCCAACATATTTTACTTTGCAAATTTTTATAAATATTCAGACTCGCTAATATCGTAGTCCACCGTGTCCAGCCTGTTTAGCCAAACGTAGGCCGATTCCTCTTCGGCGGCGCGCGGCGTCGTGAACATTTCTTATTTGTGAGATTAAAAAAACAAAACAATGCATTGGTTAAAATAAGTACATTCAATACATGTATTGTGTTAGACATTTATATGCCCAGTATATTTTTGTTTAACAAACCAATCAGGAAAAAATCCAAAACCTACCGTTATAGGAGGTATAAGATGATTAAACTTATATAATGACAACTACTTATCGGATAACAAATTAATTACTACTGTCAGCTACTGTCTAAGTAGAATATACCTAGAGTACCTACACCTACCTATGATGTAGGTAGATTAAAGCTTATTTTGACTTTACGTCTCACTTCGGTGTCACAAGCTGAATTTTTCAGGGATGGAAGTACAGTACATGATATGGAGACCCTTACTCCGAAAGTAGTACAAAATTAGACCGGGTAAAAGGGCACTATCATCAAAAATCGATATATTAATATCGCCGTATAGAGAAAACAAATACTTATTTTTTGATCCAGTACACAATAAAGTCTTCGTAGGGAGTAATTTTTTATAATTATTTACAAAAAAACATTTCCATTAGCGCTTACGACAAAAAAAAACTTTAAACATGAATAACTCATTTCAATCATGCGAAAATTTGGTTTAAAAATAGACTTTTTTTAATATAACTTTCATTTAAGGAAAAACGAGGCCTAAATGAAAAAAAAGAAACAATTTAAAAGTTTCGCTTATGTCTTGACAAGGTATCAAAGCAAACCCCATATTTTTTGCTTTTAAACTAATAAAGATATAGCAATAAACAATCAGCGATGTAATGGTTTTTGCGCGCGCTGGCCGACTGCCGCCGCTGCGCCGAGATTTCCTATACCCTTGTATATATGACGTCATGGTGTGGCAAATGCCGATTTTTATTTTATTTCACTATCCTCCCTCAACTTATTTTTTTTACGATGCGACAAATATGTAAGTTTTATTATTTTTTTTATATTTTATTAAACAATTATTTTAATTTCCTTAAAATACTGTCGGTCGATTGGCACGCCACTGGAAAATGACCTCAAACTAGGGATGTACGATTCGAATCGATTTTAATCGAAGATCGATCTTTTTACCCAAAAAATCGATTAAAATCGATCGATTTTTATCAAACGATCTTTTGGTAGAATCGTTCTTATTTTTCAAAATCGAAGATCGATTTTATTTATACTGTTTTACAGGTTTATTTACTTGTTAAAATAAGAAGAAACACTTTAGTTTTGCTTTAATATTTGTTTATGGTGCATCTCTAGTAAAACATCTAGCAATGAATTGAAAAATTAAGTATAACGCTCACTGCCGCACACTAGCAATGAATTGAAAAATTAAGTATAACGCTCACTGCCGCACGCGCACGCGCCGATGTTTGTTTAGCACTTTGATATCAGCTGTCAGTATGTCAGATTTTTGTCGGTGATTCCCATATTTTTATATTTTAGATAACGTAGAATATTCTTTGATTTTAGCTTATTTCCAACCACTTTATGTATCACAATCACAGAATTTACTGGTACATATTCTGTGTCAAAATCATCATAAGCATGCAAAAAGCCATATAATTCTATTTTAATATTGTCATAATATTTCTAATTTTCACAAGTATGTCTCGGTTTGTGTGGTTTTTGGGTGTTCTGATTTATTTGGGGTGACTCTGATTCAATTTTAATTTTAAATATGTTAATAAACGGTTTTACGATTTTTATGTATCTAATAACTTTTTATGATTATGTCTTGTGTTATATCGTATTTTTATTATACCGGTACACCAATATATTCAGTATCGAATATCGATATTTAATAAGATCGATCTTTTGTTGCCGATTTTTTTCTAGATCGATCTTGTTATGTCCGATCTTGAATCGATTCAAAATATCGATTTATTTTATTTTTGGTACATCCCTACCTCAAACGTCTAATCCATAGACTTAAAATAAAATATAGACTACACTATTTACATCTCAACGCGGACAAACAACCTTTTTAGTACACATGTTTACTTCTGGGTACAGTCGACCGAGCCTTCCTCATCCAGCCTATGTTGTCACGTCTTTAATATTATCCATATTTTTTTTTCTTGTTATACACATATATTGAGATATTAATACTACAGTTTAATAAAGTAGGTTTTAATATCTGTATTTAATATCTCTTCCTGTTTCACCGAAATGATTACATCTTTTGATTTTGAAAGGCACCCGCGGTATATTGCTACTTTATTCGATAAAAAATGACACTCTGAATAGAATGACATATCATATGTCAACTTTTGACATTGTCGCTTAAAAACATATCCTATTTTAAATTTCAATCCAGTTTTTTTCAATCCACTAAGTTTTAATCAAGGAGCCTTGGAAAAATAGTTTTGATCGTCTAATAGGTTTCGTGTCTTGTCTAGGCCGGTTAAAAGATGTACAAATCGTATTTTTAATCATACATATGTCAATTTTTCAAATGGAACAAGGGTGACTCATTAGCATATTTGGAAAAAGCATTTTTTTATGAATATATTGATACCACACACTTGGTATTTCGAGTCAAATTGTCGTTATGAACCGCGTGTTACAATTACAATTAAACCATATGCGAAAATGTCAAAAGTTGACATATGATATTTCATTCTATTCAGAGTGTCATTTTCTATCGAATAAAGTAGAAATATACCGAGGGTGCCGTTTAAAAATTAAAAGTTATAGTCATTTCCGGTGACACAGGAAGTGACCAAAAACAATTGAATGCGTCAATCAATCCTAATTTATTTCATATACTAACATACTAAATCTTGTTTTTTTATTTGAAAATATAAAAAAATTATGGGGATGAGCCACTTTTGAGCCGCACCCGGTATAATAAAGACAGTACCGAGTTAAATAAATGTAGTTTTTATTTTATCCACTTCCTATCACCTTCCTTGCTTTAATGGAACAGATTTATGTTTTCTCTAATTTACATAATAAGACATCACTTAACTAGAAAAAAAATTACAACAATCATTTTTTTTTCTCTCCCTGTCGCCGATTCTATTATATCTGTGGAATAGATCCGGTTTTGATTAATATTAGGGGTTGTAAATGTTTGACTAAAATTAATAATTTATTATTAATTTCAAAAATTACGTAATTTCGATTATAAAATTTCTTCTATAACGTGTATTTTATTATGTTTATCCTTTTCGGACTCTAAGACGTTTTTTCTAAACTTTTATGTAAAAAACCTGTCCTAAATCTTAATAAAATATAAAAACGTTTAAATACGATATATTTTTAATTTACTTATAGCTTCATTAAAATAAAAAAATTACCCGGCTATGATACGGAGAGTTCAGGTGTACTTGAGAAACGAAAGACAGTGTTGTGTGTTCTCGGCAGAGTCGTCAGGGAACGACCGTTACGACAGAGACAACCTATCTATCGCTCGTGTCGCACTCGTTATAACCTAAAACAATAACACAACAATAACAAGACAGTGTCTGACCGCATGTTCCAGCTATTTATGAATGAGATGCTCAGTCTATATTTTATTTTAAGTCTATGGTCTAATCTTTGTACACACCTACATTGTTGCCATCGCATCGGGCAGATACCCTATTTCCTTCTCTATCCATTCTCTCTCGCACTCGTTGATTTTCGCAAACCAATGTGTGATGAAGTTTTAGAGCGTTTTATGAATGGATCATTGTATCTCCCGAGTTTAAATATCTCGGGGAAGAGACCAATTTACGAAAAAAAATTTCGTCGTCGGTGGTGTAGGAAACTATTTACACTGAAATTTATGTGGGGGTGGGGGTAGTTTTCATCTTCCCGTACTTTTTCTTGATTTTTGTGAAAGTCGAATGTTAAACCACTTAGCAAAACATAGTCATTCAAATCGGAATAACGGTTCTTAAAATATCTTAATAAATGTGTTTATTTTTTTAAAGTTTGACGCCCTCTAGCGGACAAACGAAGTACTTTTGTATAGAGGTAAATTGTGTCCAATGAACTTATTTTGATTCCAAAAATATGTAGTAGTTCTATGGTCACGGAATATTGGGACACCCTGTTTGACAAACTTTTTTCAGCCGATATACACAGTTCTTGTGAAATTAATTGTACAGGGATGTTTATTAATTAATACGGACTAATTTATCAAATAAATTGTCTGGTCCAAAACCATTGTAAAAAAGTTCTAGCAATTGCGAAAGATTTACTTGCTGAAATTGGACGAGAACATAAAAAATATAAAGAAATAAAAAAATTACGCTAATGGCGTTCTATACTCATTAACAATAGAATCTTGCGTGTCGTTTGTCACTTCCTGGTGGCGTTTTTATGGAAATTATTCTTAGGAGCAAGTTTGTAGTTGAGATGGTGTTGTTTTAGTTTTTAGTTGATGTTCCGGTACAGAAACATTATACTTAATAGCATAGATATCCGTTTGATGTGAATCAAAATATAAAACCGTAAAATCCGTAGGTAAAATCACTTTCTCTGTTTAAATGCGAGGTCATCTATAAAGAAAAATTAAAATTATAATAAGTAAAGATAGTAAGTAAATATTTTTTTTGTCGGATTTCATTAAGACTGGGTCCCTTTTTTTCTGAGGCCAAATACCATCATACCATGGTTAGAAAAAAACTTATTTTGAGAAGTAAATTCTTATGTCAGTTGAAAATTCCAAAATAAGCTCTATTTACCAGTGGCGGGCATACAATGTAGGCAAAAATGTGTTGCCTACCCCAGGCAATATTATAATTTTTTTTTTCGTATATCGTTACATTATAACTTATTATTAATCCAAGAAAAATTTGTATTATTAGTAGGGGCATAAAGAAAGCTGGTTATAAGCGCTTATTACCAGCGCCTACAAGTCGTCTCAATAGTGCACAATGAACGTAAAAAGTAAGCGGCAATAATTAAGTGGGCTTTTAAACACACCCGCACACAGAAAAAACTTGTCGGCGCTTGTTGCCAGCGTAAATCGGCGCCGACTGTTTACCGGAACGCTTGTTGTCTGTGCTGGGTGTGCATTTTGTGGTTTTCGGCGCTGGTTCTCGGCCCTATGGGTACGGACACAAAGAAAGCTGGTTATAAGCGCTTATTGCCAGCGCCGAAAACAAGCGCCTACAAGTCGTCTCAATGGTACACAAAGAACGTAAAAAGTAAACACAGTAAACACAGAAAAAACTTGTTGGCGCTTGTTGCCAGCGCCGACTTTGTACCGGAACGAATTTTTAATTCTTGGTCGCTTGTTGTCTGCGCTGGGAGTGCATATTGTGGATTTCGGCGCTTGTTTTCGGGGCTGGTTTTCGGCGCTTGTTTTCTATGGAAATAAACGCTGATTAACCAGCTTTCTTTGTGTGCGTACCCTAAGATGTATTAAAATAATATAAAAATAATTCCCATATAAAATTTGCCATAAATGCGCTCCATATGATTTATGCTAAGGCGCATAGGCGGTTTGATACTTTATTTTGTCTGTATGGGTAAAGGTTGCATCTTTGCAAATCTTCCAAGTACTGTACAGGCCCCAATGACTGGAAGGCCAATGTGTAAGAAAGAGACAGAATAAGTAACGCGTTATTTAGCTTAATCATTGTTTTTTTTTACTTAATTGTTATGCTATTCTTATTGTCAATTTTTGCCTACCATACTATTTGCAACTCTACTACTATCGCCACTGCAATTTACTCTTTAAAGTACCGCAATCTCTGGACTGGGGATGTTTAAACTAAATTTTATACCGGGTGGTGCATCAGCGTTGGAATCATAGGAAATCGCATGCAAATTTTGAACTGTCCAAATATTGGCTCTCCTGTTGATTTTACAGTTAAATCGTAAATAAGCTTTTTTGCTGAATACACATGCTAAATTTGAACAAGCCGATTTTAACTAATGAATTAAACTGAACAGGTAACAATGCAAAACCAGGGAAATGCCAACATACTTTAAGTTAACTCATACCATATTCTAATACATTTTTTAGTTTCCTCAAGCCTTGTTTTGAATAATAGATTAATTTCTATTTGTTTGTTACTATTCTAGTGCCATTTAGCAACTTTGCTTAAGACAGCGGAGGAACTGAGAATCAAGGGCCTCGCAGAGGTTTCATGGAGAGACGAAGAACAGACTGGACCCAGCGATGGAAGCTCCAACGGCATCCAGACGGCTATACCATCGGTCACCACCGTTATGGATAGTCCGAAATATGAATCGAATAGCCCGAATAAGAAGAAAAGAGGCAGGCCACCCATTGGTATGTTTTTATCAATGAACAACGTCCTTTAATTGAAATTTAAAATTTGATTTCCTAAAAAACAACTATATTTGATTTTCTGAATTTGTTTGAAGTTACAGAATTAATTAGTATTTAAATGTATTTTTTTTTGTTAAGTATATCAAATAAATTACAATAAGAAAATTATTTCACCTTGTAGATGACTACGAGAATCAGTTTTCAACTCCCAGGATTTCCAACGTTTCGGGAAATGTGAGCAATGTAGAGGACGCCTATTCGAACGATGCCATGTCCAGTAGTGAACACGATCTTCAAATATGGGAGGACGACCAAGCAAACGAAGTAACAGAAATTACGGACACCGATGAGCCTCCATTGAAAGTTAAGAAGGAATCGGTATGAATAAATTATTTTTTTAAGTATGAGAATTCTGTGAGCTCCATCTTAATTGTTCTCTCTTTGAGAGACCATTTTTCTACACGAACATAATTCTCCTTACCTCTGCCCTCCACCCTTCATGTACCTAAATCTGACAAACGTAAATGTCTAAATAACGTGTGCGCTAATAGCTTAATTACTATATCTTATGTTATTAAGCTTCATTCAGAACCTCCCAATTAGTGGAATAAATTAATTAAGTTTTAATTATACTTTATACTTTACGATCATTCACAATGTCTAAAAAACACAATTAAAATTAATAAAATATCCTAGTAACAGCTTGCGGTAATCTGTTGTATCCATAGAGAAATCCTAATATTTAGCTTATAAAACAATGAACTTTTGATTTCTAACCAAAATTTTTCTTGACGGGTGATAAAGGCCAAAATGACATTCCTTGCAAATTTTGAAGTATAATTAGTGGAAAAGTCAAAAGTTTGTTAACTTTTTCGAATAATTGAAAAGTACTACCACTAATTATGACGTTCTGAATGCTTACATTAAAATTAGGTGAACCAAGTTCTACGGCTAATTGAAACTACTAATTTATTCCACTGATTTCGAGGTTCTGAATGAAGCTTAAATCAATAAACTTAATATTCAGGGTATTTCAAAAAACATGTGCCATCTCTCGTGGGGAGATTTCTTACGTAAAAATCAGATTTATATTTTATATCAACATTGGCATTGGTCCGATTCTGTTTTGTTTCGTAGCTACAGGGTGTTAAAGTCTTAATATTCTTTCGATTTATTATAATTTTCTTCCAAGTACTTTTAGTGATTTGAATGAAATTTTGAGGGTAAAAGTTACTATAAGTGCTACATATTTTAGTGCGAAAAAAGTGGAGATAAATTCACCAGGGACGGGCATATGGGTTATCACTGAAATATTAAAAAAAAAACATGTGCGCCACTGGCTTTTTTCTTTTGATATCAAAATTGTGGCCGTTTAATGCCATTAAAAGTTATCTCTTGATATTTTGTCGAATTCGACCTTCTTGATGAGATAAACGCTATTGTATTTATCACATTTAATAAAAATAAAATTAATAAATTATTAATTATATTAGGTTATTTTACCTAATTTATTATTAAATATTATTACTATTAGTTATTACCAACAACAGTCCAAGTTAATCCAACCTACAGCAATTTTAAATAAAAAAATAATGGTATTTAAGATAAAAATGATATTTGTGAGTCTTCTCGAAATGGTATTTAAGATAATTACGAAAAATCTAATTTTAAAAAGTTTTAACATCCTATAACTCTAAAACTATGCATTTCCATACCCATGTTTATAGGAACTTTTTTTCATATTTTTTGATGAGGAATCAGTGAGTACTATAAAAAATGTTAATGGTTGCTATTAGACTTGAATCAAGGCAAATTAATAAAATTCCGTTTATCTCATCAAAGAGGCCGAAATCGACAATATATCAAAAGACAACTTTTAATTGGCATTAAACTGCTAACACTATTTCGCTAACGTCAGTAGCGTACATGCTTTTTTTAGAAAAATATTCCAATATGCAACAACCTATATGCATGTCCCTGATGAATATGTCGAAACTTAGCATTAAAATATGTCGCATTTATAGTAACTTTTACCCTCAAAATATCATTCGAAACGCTAGCAATCTTCAATCGAAAAAATAATAAGATTTCCTGTAGTTATGAAACAAAGTAGAATCGGACCTATGTTGATATGAAAAATAAATCTTATTTTTAAGTGAGGAATCTCCCCACGAGAGATGGCACATGTTTTTTGAAACACCTTGTATAGTGAAAGTATTTTTTTTGCTATCAGCACGACGAAGATGATGAAAGGAGCAACACGTCATTCACGATGGAAAAGGGCTTACCTTCTGTCGCCTCCAGAGCGCCATCGTCGATCGCCCAGAGCGCCACCACGTCCAGCGGTCAGTCTTTCCTAACGCCGGCGATAGAGAAGGAATGGCCGGACGTGATCAAGATGAACGAGTACTTGAACACGGGCAGGCGCCAACAATTCTGGGAAGAACCGTTCACCAAGCGAGTGATGGACGGAATCAAGACGAAAAATTTGGAAATGAAAGTGGCGGCGGAACTACTTGGCGTGTCCTATGGTACTTTGTATGGACGGTATAGGGATTCTTATGGGTGTTTGAAGCATCCTTATAGGTAGGTGTTATGTTAACATTAAGTGTTTATTTGTCAAGCAAGATACTTATTAGTAGAACTGATAGAAGTCTCACGTCTCGCATAGAATATAGTTTATGCTTATAAAATTAGTTGTTTTTTTATAGAGTTGGGCTAAAACGTGAAATAGCATTAACAAGTATATCTGTGACCGCAATTTTTTATTCGCCGCGTAATTATCCTCTGAACGTGAATTATACCGTTGATTAAAAAATTGGGTGTAGATACGCAACCTAATAGACGAATTTGTGATAAGGTTGATTTAATTTCCCCTTACGTCTCAAGTGCTGTACGACGGTGACGCCAATCGTTCTGTGACCAACGCATAAAACACTTATTTTCTCTAATTCGGTCCAAGGTTATTAAAAGATAAGGTTGTCTCGTAACTCGATCCGCCATTATCGGAAACGTCTACTACGTCATAGGAATGCTACCACTCATAGATAGAGGGATAAAAATTGCCGACAGTCCGACAGTGCATTTCTGAATCGATATTCATTTTGTACTTTATTGTCTATAGTGTATGGCGTCTATACAGTTTTTAATTGTTTGATGTGTGTTTTCTTTATTGTATTGCCCATTTATCTTTCTTTGTCGGTTGCATTTTATTTTTTATTTCTTTATCCCCCCTATGAATTTATACGTTCTGTAGCATATCGCTCCTATTGGTCCAAAAGTTACGAGGCAACCTGTTTATAGTAACCTTGAATTCGGCCAGCGAAGGCATATCGAAGACGGTGTGGGACTGAAAGCTACAGTGTTGCCATATTAACATGTGTAATATCTGTAATATGTTTGACGAAAATATTTTTGGGTGAAAAATCCGCGTATGTGTATTTTGTAAATTTATTCTATAAAAAAATTCTTTTATAGGTACTGAATATGTCGTCTGATCAAAAAAAAGTCGTTTAGTTGGCTTGGAATTACTTGGAATACCGGCGATGTTCAATTTCAAGCCAACTCTGACGCCGTTCTTTTTTAATCATATAATATTATATTAAATTGTTTAATGATAGAAAATCCGTGTTATAAACGTACTGTACCCAAAATCCGTAAATCTACGGATTAATCAGTAGTTAGTTCTAGCAATACTGTCTCCGGCAACCACTCAATCTGTCGACTGAAAGCAGAACTAAGGTACAGTATTCTTTATCCGCTGCGCTGTAAACGACCCTCAGCGCATAGTGACGCAGAGCTAAACTAAATCTCGGACATGCAACGGTAATGCCAGTTACATCCTGGACATATTTTGTGCCACGAAATCGCCCATAAGGTTGCGCATCTTCTTATTTCTTCAATAAACGATTATACCATTACGGTTAATTTTTAGCTTTGTGGGTTATATTTTATTAAAAGCAACTTTTTAACTTCGACTGCGATTTCACTATCGATCTTTCACATATAACAACTACCGTATAATAAAAAAAAAATGGCATGCAGTTGGCTTGACAATGACGATCGATAATATTCCCCATATTTTACATATAAAATGACAGCCATCTTCATTTCATAGCTATCAACGTTTTTTTTTTTCATATTGTACTTTATGATGTCGACCATACCTACTGTCAACGTCTAAAGTCATTTTGATTTTAAAAATTATGGTATGTCTTATAACAAGTTTTTTTAAAAAGAAAAATGCTAGCAATTGCTTCCTATTGAAAAAAAGAAATAGTTAGATAAGGGGTAGTTTATATCCATTACATCTCTAGCTGAGCTTCAATTAGAAATTTCTAGATCTTTTGATTAAAAATATTGTCAGTATGACGACACTTCCGGAAGTACCTTTCTTATTTTAGCTGAATAACTAATTTTTTACATATTTAAATTCCATGTAAAAAAAGTATTAAAATTAATGTTTTATAATATTTTAATTATCAAAAAGTATTATCTTTTTTCTAACCATACGAGATTAAGAAAAGGAATAACCTAAATACATGTGACATAAATAGTATTACTTAGTCATAGTTATAAATATTAACTATAAACAAAGATATTTAAGTGATTTATATGTATGTACTTAATGTTTCAGTTTTCACCCACTTTTCAATAGAAGGTACGAACAAGATAATATTGTTTTTTTGTTATTTGGAAATTTAGTTAACTTAGTTTATATTTTTTTGATTTATTTCAAGTTCTATAATATTCAAGTTTCAAATGAGCATCAAATATATCTTGCGTTTTTTGGTAATACTTAAGACTATATGTTATGTAGGTTGACAATTTTTTTTAGTTAATTATAATTTTGATTTAAGTTAATTATAATTTTGAACCCATTTTTATACATTTATAGTATACACCGTATAGTAGTGACTGTTTTGAAAACAGAAAAATATGATTTATAGGCGTTTTATAGGTACCTATTATCTCCATGTATATATTTTATATGCAGTATTTTTAGGCGAATGCTTTCTTTATAAAATAAATTAATTAATAATATTTTTATTATACATAATAATAAAAATATTAATTTAGATCCTTCATGATATATATGCATTTCTATACTAAGGGCTGGCAAACCTTAGTTTTGGGTCGAGATTTCCGTATGTAAGAAGAGTACAATGCGTTTATAATGTACTGAACACAGATAAAACAGTAAAAACGTTACCAAACGTATGAAATAAACCGAGAAACTGTGCACATTGCTAAGAGACGTGGGAGGGGATAAGCAGATTCGTCGCGGTCGCGACCCAATCAGTACTTGAAATTCTAGGGAAAAGTGTATATCATGCGTTCAGCTTCACGATTTAATTACGTCTCGTGATAATTTATTTGTTTATTTATTAACGAGTTTAATTAGAAACACTTGCACTTTTGGTAAAAATAAGTGGAATTGAGTTGGTGTTCGACAGTGGTCGCGCTATTAAAACTCTGAATTCAAAAATCGATATCTCAAAATCCATTAGAAATAATTGATTGTAGTTTTTTTTCAAAAACTTCTTTAATATCTCTTTTAATATCTCTACTATATTTTCTTTGGAGACAGTATGTGAAAATCTTTATAAATAAAAAAGTTACATGATTGCTGAAAATTGCTATGCACTAAAAGTAAATGATATTTTGTTTAATTTTTGAATGAAAAAAAAAGTTGCAATATCTAAAGTATTTCTTGAGTTATCGCGTGTTATGTGTTAAAAAGTTGAGTTTGCGATCGTGATTTTACTTTACTTGATAGGGAAAGGCGTACCTGAGAAATGTGGCAACGTTGCAACAGCACACCGTCGCGTTTCTCTCACTCCGACTTAAATAAGATCCCTATGCGATTTACTTCCACACATGTAAATATAGACCCAAAAGTAAGAGTTGCCAGCACGGTATGTTTAAGATATGACTAAAGGCCGACCAATAATAACTATAGATAGCTCTTTTTGAACAAAAAACAGGCAATAACAGGTGATATTTTAAGTAGATGAATCAACTATTGACTTTTTTCATATGTCTTATTTCCTCATGTTTCGTTTTTTAAAAAATTTTTTTCCAAATGTTTCAGTTGGTTTTTTAAATATATCACGTTGTTCTAAATATCCTGATTGTTTCCAAATGTCACAGTTTTTAGTATCTTTTGAATCAATACTTTTTTTTTCATTTTGAAATTATCCTTATTTGGCAACCTTACAATCAAATAAATTTCGTGATCAAGCATGCTTTGTATAATAAAAAAAATATGAGAAATGTTTTTAGATTTTATTAACTGTCCTTTGAAAGCCTGCTTGATCACACAATTTTTTGGTCATACATTAATGATGGAATCTGGAACGTCATCATAATTTGAATGCTTACATTTTTTTAATGAAATTGATTTGCTTTGTAGTTCAATTTTCAAGTTGAATTGAATTTTTGTATGCAACATAATGACAAACTTGAATTTTGAGTTATGAAAAAAGATAAAAATGGGTTCAAATATCGTACATTAGGTTTATATATATATTTCTTTTCTGGTAGAGTACGAGACTTCTGGACGGAACAAGCTCCCACTGATCTGCTTCTTAAGCTAAAACGCAAAGAAATCACTTTATTTAGAGCCGCAGAACAACTTAACGTTACACCCCAAACGTTATCGAATTATTTAATGTCGGTGTCGCAAGGAGAAAATCCCGATACAAATTCCAGGTAAGTAACAAAGCCAATCATAAGCGTTAAGGTGGCTGCACACACTACTGCAAGCTTGACAAGCATGGATGAACAATCTTTTTGTACAAGCCATGCATAATTTACCTTCGTCGCCACACGGTACATGCATGCTTGAACAAGCTTCAGTTTATGCCGCGAAAAGAAGAAGGAAGTCCGAAGAAAAAGAGGAAGGAAGTCCGCGAAAAAGAAGAAGGAATTCTGAAGGCATTTATCTTTTTAATACGGCATCCTTATCGGCTTGGCTGTCAATTAATCTATACTTATTAGGTAAAATTTTGTATGCTGCATCCTTCTTCACCCTATCATGATATTCTGGTGATTTAATTCGCCAAAGACAAGGATGATTTTCGTATGCGCGACTAAAATCTTCCAATAATCCTCGATTGCTCCTTTTCAGATCGCTAGACATGATGGCGACGCGACGTACAGGTCATTGACGATCACGGACTAACTAATTGTTTCTACAAGCTGAATACATGTGGTACACACGTACCATTTCGCTTGCGAAAGCATGGCTTGTCCAAGCTTGCATGATTCAAATTCAATCATCAAGCGGCTTGCACAATTAAAATGCTTGCGCAAATTTTCCCTACAGACGCTACAGTTTGCTTGTACAAAAAGATTGTTCATGCATTCTTGTTAAGTTTGCAATAGTGTGTGTAGCCACCTGAACAATGACCTTTAAAATGACAATCAGCGATAAATTCTGTCGATCCCACAAAAAAAAATAGATTGCAATGCTCGATTTCCCACCAAAACTTATAACTAATTCTGTTGGATCAGATATGTTATACGGGGTATCCCAGAAATAAGTGCAAGTATTTCAAGGGGTGTTAGATTTCGATAAAAGAAACATTTTCTCTTTATCGTTTTTTAAATTCAGTCCACAAAGTAAAGTTTCAAAGTAAAAAAGTACAAAATTTTTTTACTTTGAAAATTTCCAAAAAAATGATTTTTTGCCTTTGCTAAAATTTTGAGAACCACTGGATCTTTTCTGGATTTTCTTTCTTGTAAATTTAATCTACTACCTATGTTGCCATATTATCAAGAAATTATGTTTAACTAAAAACTAAAAAAAAATTCCAAAAAATTTTTCAAAAAATTTCGAATTTTCAATTTTTTTTTTCGCGAAAAAAACCTCATAAGCGTGTTTCTGGGGTGGAACTATACTACCAGTTAAAATATTTGCACTTATTTCTGGAACATCCTGTACCTATATGCCTTTTAATGAAACATCAGATGCGATGTTCCGATTTGAATGAGATTAGAGTTGCCTATGTTTCGTTAACATTTAAAAAAGAAAATCAAATGTTAAAGTACTTCAACATTTGATTTTCACAAAAAAAAAGAAAAAGTACGGAGAGGGTGAAAACTACAACCACCCCTATATAAATTTTAGTAGAAATATTTTCCTCAATATTTAATTCAAATATTTAACTCACCCGACAACAGATTTTTTTCGTGTTAATTTAAAATTGACAAGCTGCATATTATGTCGAATGGACAAGTTTACAATGATACGAAAAAAAAATAAAGTATTTAAAAACAAACTTTTTTTTCCTGTGCAAGTTTTTCACAACATTCTCCTCACAATCTCTCTAATGTTCGTCATATTCAAAGTGTAAAGCACATAAATTTCGCAAATTTTAGATTACCAACGGCTTAACCCGCGTTGCAAGCAAATTAATCTGTTTTTAGTTCTGAAATAATAAAAAATGTAAAAAAATAATATACAATGGTCTTTTTGACGGAAAAAGAAAACCAATTAGAAATGATACGAAAGAATTTTAATAGGACAAAGTTTATAAAAAGGAAAAAGTGTTAATATAATAATATAATATGTGTTCATAATATGTTCATAATTAATATTATTAGTGATGGGATAACTCGAGCGAAAATTCGCTCGAGTACTCGATTATTGAAATAACCGACATCGCTCGATTATGAACGAGCGATGCAAGTGACGAGTACCAAGCGACGAACGCAAGCGATCCTAGAATGAAATAAATTGAAATACGATTTTAATGTAACCTACTCAATAAAAAGCCGAGCGAATTTTTTACATACATTGCAAGTAGCAAATTTATACGCCGTATATACCGGGTGCATCTCAAAAGTGGCTCACCCCTATTACTTTTTTATTTTTTTAGATAAAAAAATGAGATTTGGTATGTTAGTCGGAAATGACTACAATTTTTGATTTTTAAATGGCACCCTTGGTATTTTTTTTTACTTTATTCGATAGAAAATGACATTCTAAATAGAATGACGTATCATATGTCAACTTTTGACATATTCGCTTAAAAACAAATTGTATTTTAAATTTCAATCTAGAGTGCCATGGCTGTGTTAAAAACACTAATTTGTAATCAAGGAGCCTTGGAAAAATAGATTTGATCGTCTAATGTTTTTAGTGTTTTGCCCTGGCTGGTTAAAAGATGCCCAAATCGTATTTTTGATCATATCTCATTTCTTTTCAAATGAATGAGGGTGGATCATTAGCATATTTCGAAAGAATTTTTTTACGAATAATTTGATACTACGCACTTGGTACTTCGATTCAAATTGTCATTATGAACCGCATGTTACAATTTCAAATAAACCATATGCGAAAATGTCAAAAGTTGACATGTGCTATGTCATTCTATTCAGAGTGTCATTTTCTACCGAATAAAGTAAAAAAATACGGAGGGTGCGATTTAAAAATCAAAAGTTGCAGTCATTTCCGGTGAAACCGGAAGTTACCGAAAATAATTGAATATGTCAATCAATCCTAATTTATGTCATATACTAACATACCAAATCTCGTTGTTTTATCTGAAAAAATAAAAAAGTTATTGGGGTGATCCGCTTTTGAGACGCACCCGGTATATTTATCCGTTGCGTATCTGAGAGACAAAATTTTACGACCTACATCGATAATGCTTCGAAATAAACTAAATCAAGCGATCAAGCGAATTGCTCGTCGCTTACTACTTGCCGTTCATTACCGAAAGAATGTGTGCCCTGCGCACGCAGCTTACTGCTTGGCGTTAACGAGTACTTACAACATGCGACGGACAAAAAACCGTATTTTTAAATACGAGCGATATTTCGCTCGAGTGATAACTCGGTTATTGCAATCGCTTGATACTCGAGTACTCGATTATTGAAATTAATCGGTTTTTCCCATCACTAGTTCATATTAATAATAATAATGGCGTTTCCTTGCCCCTCGAGCATCACTACTTTGACATTCAAATCTCTGGAATAATCTAAAAAATAGCTAAATTAGTACTTTAACCAATCCAAAAAAAATAGATTAGCAATAACTGCAATTAATAATAGTTTGCAATAGTTTCTGCAATTTGCAATTTTCTTGATGGAAGGCATGCACAATTCAAAAACAGCTGATCTCTTCACGCAATACTCTTGCAGCGGCAAGGCCTTGCAGGAAATCGGACCAGCTAAAAAATAGCTAAATTAGTACTTTAACCAATCCAAAAAAAATAGATTAGCAATAACTGCAATTAATAATAGTTTGCAATAGTTTCTGCAATTTGCAATTTTCTTGATGGAAGGCATGCACAATTCAAAAACAGCTGATCTCTTCACGCAATACTCTTGCAGCGGCAAGGCCTTGCAGGAAATCGGACCAGCGCGATTTTTATTAGTTAAGTTAGTTACAATTCTATAGTTATCAACCTTAAGAAATTTTTGAATTAGAAGAGCAACTGTATCAATAATTTTCCGATAAGAACTTATTAAATCAAACTAAAACATTAAATTACCACAATACACCAAAACATTTACTTTTACACTGGACGCGCGTTTCGCTAACCATGTTAGCATCATCAGCAGATGATTAAGACTTCACAAGGTCAACACCAAAGGTTCCAACCCCTAACTGTACACATATTAAATTTTAAATAATTAATCTATACTATCTATCATAATAAATAAAAAAAAACAAATAAAACATTTTGGTTCTGTTGAATTTCAAAATGTCAAAAAATTATTCATATTGGTATCACTGTGTGAATACAAAGAATTGCAACATAATTGCTGACTGTAAAGTGAATTGCAACTTTATTGCGACAAGAAAAATTGCAAACTGTAAAATACTTAATAAAACATTTCTCAAGCTTTTCTGGAACATTAGTTGAATTTTAATTAAAATACAGTGGCGCCATCTAGTTTGCCACCCACGCAACATTTTATCCGCCCTAGAATATAGACTGAGTGGAAGGGGGGTTACTTCACCGGAACCTTAAAGATCTATTGTGTGCTCCTTTCTTGAGTTCGAACGTATCACACAGTCTTTAACTCATCATACATGGGGATCTTGTTGTCTGGTGTTGTCCAGGAACTATGATAGAGGATATATCTCTCTTTTTCTATTGTCTCCTTGGATTTGAGGTCAATTCCTATTGTGAGGACCTGACCACGGCCCTCTCCTCCCTCCAGTTGATGACTCGCCAACTCGATGTCTTTACTTTGGAGTTGAAATAATGGAGTGATACAGCGCAAGGGTTAGTCGGTCCACTTCTACACAGCCACGCATGTAAAAGTAAGGGAGACAAGAATTAGGTTGCCCTCTGGTGTCCCAAGTTTGAGACCAGTAGAGGCTAGTATTCTATCTACCCATGCATCCCTTTGATTTGATTCCGCCATCGTAGGATTTAGGTTTTTGGTGAGGTTGTCCCTTTGATGGTCTTCTTGGTCCGGGCGGTTAAGCTAAGACCTCCCTCTAGACACACCCTTTGCCCGTAATACATGACCACAGACAGTAGGTGGTGCCTGATTTCCTGCATCGTTATACGTCTTGGTGCAATTCCCTGGCGACGGCACTACAACCAGGGACACGATAGTGAGATGTCCCTTAAGCTCAGCTAAAGTGCCAGAGGGAATTCCCCTAGACCTGACTAGAATCTTTCCCACCAACGAGAAGGTTTTGCATCTCCTAGAAGAAGTTTATCCAACCTAAGAAAACCCATAACCCACTGTCCTTATCAATTACTATTTTTCGACAAATTCGTATGTCAATTTTTAATATATCACCTCGTATATGACCATTGAACTCGTGAAACATTCTCGTGTGTTTCTTTAGTTCAATATATATGGCATATAAGAGATCGGCCCGAGAAAAATGATCATCGATTGTCATTTCTGGGGTCACTGTGACGCTGTTTTCGATCGATTATTCGATATGTTCAGTATTGCTATTTAATATAATTCTATAAAAAAAATTAATAGGGGTGTATTGATACACCCTCCTGGACACTTCATCTGAGTGGTCTGTATTTTAACGCTTGCGGTAGAGATAAATATAAATGACCGGTTGACAGACAGAGAGACAAAATAAAAAACGACTCACAATGTTGCCGGTTTTTACCTGTGTAGGGCAACGGCCCAGCTACGTCGAAACACCGGTTCCCATTAGAACACCGAAGTTAAGCGACGTAAGGCGATGCTAGTGGATGGACGGGTGACCTGTTCGAAACTCTGTATCGTGCTGTTGTCCAAAAAAGGCAAAAGTGTAAAATCTATTGACACACACTGCTCATTCACGCCGGTTCGAGGCCGGATGATATCGGATATGTCGTGAGTAAGAGTCGATTTAGACACTTGCCAAGTCGGTAGACCATTGACCATGATATGGCCGAGGATCGCGGTTCGGATTCCGCGTAAACAAAGTAGGCCCCGTCCAGATTAGCCCTGGCAGCAAAAAGGAGACGTTAAACTATTACAGCTGTAGTAAAATAAGTAACTAATTGTGAAAAGTAAAGTTCCTATCCTAGATGCAACATTTTTCATAAACGTCTACTTGTGCGGTCTGAACCACTTTTATCTCTTTAATACATTTGATTTTCCATTAAGCTGTTTACATCACTGTTATACACGTTAAATTCCAGACCACGCTTTTACGATGACCAGAAAGGTATAGGTGTATTGTGTACTCCCCCTATTAAAGAAGATTTCTTAATCATTTAAAGTGTTACACAAAAATGCACTCAGTTCAGTGAGAATTATGATTGTAAAAAAAACTAATATTATTATTTTTCTGTCTCTAGTGCCCAATCAATACAGGGAGAATCTTATGAAGAAGGTACAACAGATGATGAAGCCGATTCAATCTTACCAGACATTCCGTCAAATAATACTAATGTATTTAAGAACTTGGTGAGTTTATATATTTATTATATTGCATGACTATATACGAGAATAGTCCGTAAAGGTCCGGACCTTCTAAAGATAGCAGCACTGATCAACAAATGCTGGACTCTGTATTTGCGTGCGTATTTTTTTATTAATAGTCAACTAAAGTGTGTCTAGCGAGGGGCTACAAGACAGTGGTAATTGTTCTCTGTCATGTTAATTTACAGGTAAGTTTTATTTTTTACGAAATCTTCTTCCCTAGCGGGGCATGTATACATAGTGACTAACGAGCTTCATGGTTTCGTCATCTTCCATACAGAGTCGGCGTTCGGCGTTTTCCACAAGTCCCATCTTCTGTAGGTGTGATTTCAGCCGGCAGTGACCTTGGCGTTGGACAGACTTTAGTATTAGAGATACTACATTGACTATCATTTAACATAGTCCCTATGACTATTTTTTACCAGTAAAATTCAAGTTATTTGTGAAAAGAAGAATATGTTACTCTCCAAAAAAATCCTTTAAGGATATTTCGCCACTGCACTGCAAGAAAATCTACAAAATAAAATAGTTATTTTTTGTAAACACTTCTGGCGTTAAACCTAAACGGACACTGCTTGTCAGAAGTAATGTTGACAGTTATACAAATTTCTAAGAATTCTATTTTCGAGATAGAATATATATTTCTATTCGAGAACACTTTACTTTTTTAAAACAGATACGTCTACAAGAAACCGTTGACGTTCTGTTAAAATGACATATAACAAACAAACGTCAACGGTTTCTTGTCGACGTATCTGTTTTAAAAAAGTAAAGTGTTCTCGAATAGTTGAATTTAAATATTTTAAATAGTTTTTTCTTTATTCTTTGTATTTTTTTTGCTTCCGACGACGGAAAGAGATAAACTTTCCGAAACGTTAAGCATTTTTTTCTTTGTTAGGCAAATTTGTATAACTGTAAACATAACTTCTGACAGTGTTTACAAAAAATAACTATTTTATTTTGTAGATTTTCTTGCAGTGCAGTGGCGAAATACCCATAAAGGATTTTATTGGAGAGATAAATCCGCCACATAGGTCTATAAGGAGCGATCATCAATGATTGAAATAACTGATTATTCTGATTTTGTTCATTTGGTTGGCAATACATTTACGAAATTCAAATATTTATCGGCTGTTATCACTAGCATCAAAACAAACCAATAATTTAATAATATAATTATTTTTTTGACGATATTCGTTTTTCATTACAATCTGAGACTAATCAAAACGAGATGAGATATCAATGGACTTAATCTGAAGGGTTTTTAATTTAATTATTGAATAAGTGTATTAAAAATACGGTTTAAGTTACATTTTTCGTTATAAATTTTAATAATAAAACGCATATTAATATAGTATCATAAACTAATATTATTTCAAAAAAATATTTATTAGAATGTATCCAATATACAATAAAATATATTTGAAATTATTAGTAAGAAGTTCTAGGTACGTATGTTTATAAATTTATAAAGCGAAATGTACGTTTATATGGGTTTCTGTCTTATTGTTCAATCTTCTTTTTGTTGTTCTGGTAACCAGAATTTTGAAATCATCTAATTATACGTTTCTATTACGTCATTGATAAATATGTTGATTTTACATTGAAAAATATGTTGAATTTACAAATATCAAAGTTAAAACTTTCAAGGAGGTAAAGAAAAGCCAAAAAAATTAATTAACGTCGATGAATTGACATAATTTGTTAAAAAAATTTCCATCAGTAATTTGCTTTAGCATCAGTAAACCTCTAATACAGTATTGCTAACTGATTCAATCATTGTTGATCCCTCTGTACAATCTCAGGCAGTCATAATATTTATTTTTGAGATGCAACGATTCTCATTTTCAATTGATTAGATTTACTGCTTACCAAAATAAAGGTCGTTTGTAATTTAGGTGGCCGCAAATAGCAATGCCAATACCCCACCGTCAGGTGGTAATAACAAGTCGGTTCTTGCCAACTGTCCCGACATCACTATCATCAAGAAGGAAAAACTAGACCAGAAAGTGAATAATAATTCAGATCATTCCGATGTTGGTAGCGATAAGTAAGTTAGAAACTTACTTATTGGTAAGTTAAGAGATGATATTTGCCTACACAAGTTAAAAAATAAAGTGGTTGTTATTTACCATAATATAGTTAAGAAAACATGTATAGCGTTCTAAAATACTTATGGATTTTTTCTTTTTAATTTTGCAATCAGATTTACTCTATGTATGAAATACATACTCTATAAGATACATTAAATTGAATGTAGGCAAATTTCATTGATTTTAGTAACTAAAAATAATGTACTGTAACCTACTTTCCACTTTTGAGTATTTGATATAAACCAAAGTGATTTTTTACTGTTTTCTAGTTATTTAGAAAGAAATATATCTTAATCCTAATAAGAAATGTAGTATTTTAAGGCAAGATCTTTAAAAGATGACCAATTCCATTGTAAGATTTAGTTTTTACACGTTATATAACGTACACTTTTTTTTGGCATTTTGTGGTACAGTATCTTGTTATGTTTAAATTGACTATATATTTTTATTAAAAGAATAAAGCAGGTGCGTAGTTAAAATGTCACACTGTGCATCAAATGCAATCATATTAAAATTCTATTAATCATTTCAAAATGTTTAGAACAGATGGGAAATTTTTTATTAATTTATTGAAAAAAACTTATGTGTAGTTACTTCAGCATATCCAATAACAATAAACCAGTTCTATGGGTGATGGCAGGGCTATGCTATATATGCTATGTGATGCGGAAATTTACAAAAAAAAATCCTTTTTTCATATGCAGAAGTTGGGTTTAAATCAGAGGTTCCCAAACTTTTATTTCTTGTAGACCAGTTTCAAAATATTATTGGTTTCGGTGCAAAACTCGTTAAAAAATGTGAAGATTTGATCTAACGATGGAAATTTGCATTGTGCTGTGAAAAACAAAGTAAATTCTTTATTCATTGGATTATAAAACAGAACAAATTCATCCTGACATTGTTTTTAATGATTAAAATAGAGTTTTAGGTTATTTAGAAAGTTTGTAGAGTTACTTTGATGTATTGGTTACAAATTTTTAATATCTATACATAGAGTTGTATTATTGTGTGCTGGTCTGAAAATTAACATTTTTGGTTTTTAACTGTATATTACTGGATAGTAAAATGACATTCCTGTAATATATAATATTATGTAAATTATTTTTTTAAAACCTCGATTGGTCTTATGTCTATTCTGAATAACCTTTCTCTTTAACTTTTTCGATATCAATGACTAAAGAATATAAGGACATGTAACGCCCATATACGGGCTGCAGCAGAAGTTGCGACCTTAGACGCCTTTTCTTTTGGTGGCAAACAATGAGTCATCAGTTGGTCACCAGCGACAATTTTAGCAATTTTTAATAGTTTGTGTGTAGTGAACATTGTATAAACTTTATTACAATGCTGATTAGTTATTCAGCTTTCAAATGTAAAAGCAGCAGCGACAAAAAAGAGCCAGGAGTTATGTTTCATAGGTAGATAAACAGTCCGCTCCACCTTTTAGCGTTTTCTTAAGTTTTCTTATTGAATTCGATAATTATTTTTCTGATTTATATGTACTTGATGTGTGCTATACGTCGATACTAGTTTTGTACCTTTTGTTAACATTTTAATACGTTTTTTTCGTCATTAATTAGTATGATGCCACCGCCTACACCATAGGCGTAGTCAAAACATTTATCAAAAATATAAATATCCCTTCAGCTAGCTAAGTTAAGAAAAAAATATGGCCACGGCACTGTTTGGTGCCATGGTAACAATTTGCTCTCGGGTGTTATTTGTCCTTGAATTCTTTAGTCATTGTTCGATATCTTGTTACTTACCCCCACTTTTTGCATATACGACGTACTGCGCAATGCCAGAATTCAGAAAATCGATTGGCGATTGTCGAACGAAGCATAAACGAAAGCCATACGAAGCTGTACGAATGAACAGCTGTGCTAGTGTCTAGTCTCTTATTGGTCTAGTTATCCGATCGATAATTCAAAAACCACGCTTGCGCACTACGCTTCTGCTCGCCTAACTGTTAGATTTATATACCCATTTCACCGGCTCGGCTTTACAGAATACAGATAGGAGGGCCATATACTTTAGTATTAGTATGATGTACTGCAAACTACAAACTTCCTCTAACTTGCAGTTTGTCTCAAAAAAAAAATCAATGACTTCTTTGATATGAAATACGCCGATGAAGTTCCGTATAAGCTTTTTTTCAATAAAAACTCAATAATTAAAAAGTTTCCATTTTTTGCGAATCTTGTGGGACGCCCCTGTACTAAGTTGGTATATTGATTACGCCTAGTTTCTTATCAATTTCTTTTATAATTTGAATTTTATATAATAAGATACTGTAACATTGATCACCTTTTAAATGCTTTAAAAAACTATGGTTGTGCATTTTTGCAAGACAAATGATACATGACTTATAGTAAATATTTTTATGCTTACCGAATGTGATCTTTTCATGACTTATTTTTTATTGCTTTATTAATTTTGTATATCGTGTAAGATATAATTACATTCATACTATTGATCTGGTGAAATTTAGGTTTTATAATGTTATATTTTTATGTATTAATTATGTATGTAGGTTCGACCATTTATTTTCATTGTCAGTATTTTAAGTCGTCAAATATTTACTATGCAGTCTAACTGGATAAAATTATGTCAAAAAATTCTTCAAAATTACGCGACTGATAAACAGTTTTTTTTAGTGTATAATCCGAATGTAGTTTTAAGAAAGTTGTGAAAAGTATTATAGAATGGAATAAGTGATTCATTTCCTTTAACACACAGTGCTTTTTAGAATAGAATGCTGATCTTTAAGAGTTATAATGTGCATAATTTATGCATTTTTTAATTAAACAAACTAGGAAAGGTCTTTAAATTCACACATTTATTTAATTTTTTATTAATATTACTTGTTTATTATTATTACATTGCAACAGCGTTTTATATGTTTTATTTTAAATTTTAAACGAACATAAGATTACTTTAGCATTCTTTTAAAGATGAACATTATATTCTGATACCAATTTGTATCCTATTTCATATACTGTGCTTTCACTCAGAACTTCTGTATATATTGTACCTGATTTCCATTAACTTAAAAGTAATCAGTCCTTTTTTAAGATTAAGTAATTGTATATTCTATTCCATAGAACGAATACAATCTTGTTTATAGGCCAAGCATTTAAAAAACAACTATTAGTTTACAAAAACAGTTGTTAAGAAACATTTGCAAAGATTTTATAAAATGCTCTGTTTAAGTTTCAATTTTAATGCTACATAAACTATTTATTTTTATTTTTTATAAATATTAATTATATTTTTTGCAAAAATGCTTTCTATTTTAGTAATCCAAAGATATATAAGCATATTTATTTTAAAAAAGCGTACTTAGTTTTGCCCATTTTATTACTTAAGTATTATTTTAGACATACAAAAAAAGAATTATATAGATCTGGAGATAACTGAGTCATGAAGTATATGGTATGGCTAAATATAAGATAAATATGGTTTTCCTAATATAAATACAGTACCAAACATGAATTTCACATCATGTAATTTTTTTTATTAATTTGTTTTTTAAATGGAGTTTGATTCTGACATTATATTTTGCTTTTCAGTGGATTCAATATAAGAATTAAAAATTATTAATATTCCTCTTGGGTATCTGTTAAAAATTTGGCATTTAATGAGATACTAAACTGCTAAAATATGTAGAATATGCAGAATTTTAAATGGCTGTATTCTAGAAAGTGTGTTTTAATTTAACGTAAATACGAGTGTAACATACAATTTTTTTTTAAATTTTAAACAATACCCAAAATTGGTTGAAACAATAAATTGCTATTGATTAAAAATAATTTTAGCACCCGTTTTGTGGATAAAAGCAAAAATAACTGGTGGTAGTCTTATTTATCAATGAGTTATACAGATTGTTAACTGGACAGTTACTTATAGGGGAACAGAATGGCAACACTGCCTATTGAGAACCCATGCACTTATAGGGTTTTCTGCCGACTCGTCCCGTCGCGTCGTCTATCGACGAGCGGGCCGAGGTTGCCATATTTCAAGCATAAAGCTCTTGCTGCGAGTAATAAACAAATTAACAACCTGTATATTGGTCACATATTCAGGTAAGTTTTTTTTGATTAAGGGAAATTAAAATAACTTTCGTTGCACATCGTAATACGACCACCAGCAAACTCCATAAGACGACGCATGGTGTCATTGATGACGTGCAACGAAAGTTGTTTCAATTTCCCATATGTAAAATGTTATATTTAGCCAAATCGTATGCTCTTAAGTTTAGACTGCGGAACATTTGTATGAAATGTAATTTGATGACTTTTTTGACAAAAATTTGTAGATAACAAAACCGTGATAACTACCAAAAGTTCTAAAAAAAAAATAATGTATATTAAAAACTACTTACGCAATATTTAAGATATATTACATAAATGAATCTGCAAAGTAGTATTAGCGTTAGAACATATCACACAGGGTCCAGTACAGGGACGCATTTTTCTGCACTGACTCTAATATTCATTCTTATAAATTAACAAACCAATTTCAGATAGTTTTCCGTACATTACTTACGAAAGACGTTTTTTTTTCTCAAAGCTTTAATTTTTATATGCTTTAATGCTGTGTTATGGAATAGTTACAAAAGTTCCAAAATATTGTTTGAATTATCAAATCCAATACAGTGTCAAAGTCTGCTTCATATGGGATTTTTTTTATTGACTTAAGTGAAATTAAATTGTGTCCTCAGGGTTTGTTGTGAATTAAATTGTGTAAGAATGACAATAAAATTTAACCTGTCAAGCCTCAAACATCTGTCAAATATGAGCAACATTGTCTTTAAGTATATAAATTTAGTTTATAGGCAATCTTCAAAAAACGCAGAAAAATCACATATGTACAGGGTGGGTCAAATTGGACGCTTTTAAAGGGAAACACCCTTTTCTATAATAGGAGATAGATGAAAACTAATATCGGTGTCTGGAGCTCAATTTTTATCAAAAACATGATGGTGAAAACCGCACATCGATATCTGTTACCGTTTCGGAGTTACGGGGTGTTTTTCACACCAAAATGTGCATTTTTAACAAATCCATGTAACTTTTTTTATGGAAAATTTTGTATTTTTATGAAAACATTTCCAAAACACCTTTTTACGTAAAATTTAATGCGTTAAGTATAATTTTTTTCAAATTAATAATTTAAGAATTATCAACAGAAAATTTGATTTTTTATATGGGACACCCTGTGTATTTTTAATTCATTGAAAATAATTTAAAATTACATATCCAAAAATATAGCATACTTGATATTTTGCTTGATTGATCTTCCAGATATAGATTTTTAAAAATTCGCTCACTTTGAATAAGTAGACTTTAAACGGCGCCGGCTGTAATGCAAAAAAAATGTTGCTGTGAGCAGTAATTAATACGAAAATAATATTTACAATGAGAGATGCAGAATTTTATAACAATTTAAACTATATTTAATAACATCAACACATTTAAACTATATCAAAAACAATAAAAATTAATAGCAAACCAAGATATGAGATTTTGCTACAGGTGTTCGACATGTCGACCGTGTTCTGTTATGGACAGACGGGTCTGTTTTTGAACATTTCTCGCGGAATTCATTAACTCAGTAGGAGTGAAAGATACTCTGGCATAACCGCTAAATACTTATTCATGTCTAGATTATACGAGCAATTTAAAAATAAGAACCTTTATTCTTCCTCAAAGATAAAAATTCATAGGCACTAAGTCCGGCGGCCTCGGCTGCCTCGATGGCCAACGGCTGAGATCTTGGTTAGTTATTCAATTATTCTCTAAATTGGCTGCAAAAATTTGCTGATAACTTCAGCGATCTAAGCCGGTGCCTTATCTTGCTGGAAAAATATGTTTTCGAGTTCTATTTTAGGGGCATTATCATCAATAAGGGGTCCAAAGCTTACTAGTTAAAAGTGGTGAACTTTTAAAAATTCTGTATTTCGAAGGAGACTATAACAACATATCAAGTGAGCAATATTTTTGGAAAAGTAATTTTAAGGTATTTTCATTTGATTAAAAATATACAGGGTGTCCCAAACAAAAAAAATATTAATTTCAAAAAAATTATACTTAAATCATTAAATGCTACGTAGAAAGGTGCTTTGGTAATGTTTTCATAAAAATACAAAATTTTTCATAGCAAAAAAGTTACAGATATTTGTTAAAAATGCACATTTTTGTAAAACACCCCATAAACGGTAACAGATATCCCCCGTAACTCATAAACGGTAACAGATATCGATGTGCGGTTTTCACCATCATGTTTTTGATAAAAATTGAGTTCCAGACACCGATATTAGTTTTCGTCTATCTCCTATAGAAAAGGGTGTTTTCCCTTTAAAAGCGTTGAATTTGACCCACCCTGTATATGGCTGAAAATTGGTACTTATGTAAAATTAAAAACAAGCAACTTTGTCAAAATAATTCTTTTAAAAGTTTGGTTAATAAACATATTTTTTACTTTGAATAGAAGACTAAGGAAGGAGCATAATGCTATCCATTTATTCATGCATGGTGGGCGGAAAAAGGACTCTAGGA